CTATCCCTCTTCTATCCGCCTCCCACTCTCTCCCTATTTATTTCAAAACCCCCTTCCCCTCCCCCTTTTCTGATGAAGGGTCTAGGCCCGAAACGTCAGCCTCTCTGCTCCTATGATGCTGCTTGGCCTGCTGTGTTCATCCAGCCCTGCACCTTGTTGTCTCGGATTCTCCAGCATCTGCAGTTCCTACTATCTCTCACAGTTCTAGTGTATCTGACTTGCACTATATATCCCAAACCTTCATTCAAGGACTATATCATCTTTAAAGCAATTTTTGGCTTTTATTTATCTCCGCATCCCCAACTTGAAATGATGTGTGAAATGCCAAGCAGCAAAGCTATTTCATTATATACTCAAACAGCACCGGTTATCTGCGTATTAATTTCAATTTGTGAACAGTTTTAATAAACAGTGCTAATTCAAGAAATTTCAAATTACTTTTATCACGTTTGTGGTACAGGCTTGATGCAAAGTGGCAAGTGAGTTCTATCCATAAGACAGACAGTAGCAAATCACCACAGCTCCTGCCAACAGCAACTAACAAACCTTCAGCCTCTACTACATAGGAGGAGGGCACGTGGATGCATGGGAACTGCACCAACTGCAAGTTCCTCTTCAAACTCACATTCTGTTCTGACTTAGAATATATTGCTGCTCCTTCCTGAATCAAAATCCTGGAACACCCTTCCTAGCAGCATTGTGGGTGCACCTGCACCACATGGACTGCAGGAGTTCAAGGCAGCTCACCAGCACTTTGTCAAGACCAATTAGGGATGACAACAAATGTTAGCCTAGACAGTAACACCCATATCCCATGAATAAATTCAAAGAAAAATGAAAATGAAAGCGGAGATTATGATGTTACTTCTTGCAAAGACATGTGTGACCGTTACAATCACGCAGGATGAACCTAACCAAAACATGAGACAATAAGACAGTTAATTGAAACCTCTTCACAAAGAATTATGCTCACCTGTCGCACATTATTGTTTGCAGTCTTTTTCATTTCTTCATGTAGTCCACGTGACGTTTTTAAATCCTACATTTAAAAGTCAGTTGGGAAGTAAGAGTCATGTAAAGTTTTAAAAAATGACATTATATTACATTGAAAATGGGGCCCAGACCACAGTCATTCAACTAGGATCTTATCAAATGATACAGCAGGCTTGATGAGCAAGTGGCTCACTCCTTCACCTAACTTGCATGTTCATATCATCTGTTGCAATATTTTCAGATATAATAGCATTCTAGATTTTAATAGGTACAGTTTTTCAACAAAGTTTTTGTATTTATAATCAAAATTAATGCAAAAAAACAAAAATTCTTCACAACTAGATGATGATATAGGAAAGACTCATTGTACTCATTCCTACTGCTGTTCGGCTGTGTGCCTTCATTGTGCCCACAAAACTAAAATCCAGGACCTACTTCTCAAATTTTCTTCTCAACCATAAATTATTAAAAAAAAACATTAAATACACCTTCACTAGATGGCCCTCTTTACAAATCATTTAATAGGCAGAAAGACAAGAAAAACTTCACAAAGAAGACTTTTTTTATAAAAAGCAGAATTCTAAATGCCTTTAACTGTTTCAAGGTGGTTAATCTTAAATCAAGTTGATTTAGCATCAAGGTCAATTACTGAACCCTTCATTCTTGGCCAGTAATTAGTTAAAACCCCATCTTAAACATTGACTAAATTAACCTACTGCCTTCCACTCTCCCCAGTGCAAACAGGATTTTATTTTATTGGCAAGCATACCAATATGTCTATCCAGCAGCTCGCTGCCTCCATCAATTCCTTGCCAAGTTACCAGATTTCTTCAGGGGTCACCTTTTTCATTTGAATGAGAAATGTAGTTCAATGGGTGTATGATCAATGTTAGAACACATACATAATCGGAAAGTATCTAGCTGATGTGGGGGAGAGCAAAAAAAAAAATCACATTGAAATAATGCATTAAGAATTTTAAATTAGAAAAGAATTAAAAGCAAATTCAAAAGCATTTATTTTATAATGTGGGATCCACAGCTTCAAACAGCTGAAGCAGACTTCATTAATTCTTTGCTTGAGAAAGAGGAATGCCAAAAGGTGTTTCCTGGGAGTTTAGAGTGCTGGAAAAGATTCAATGGCAAGCTGCTAAATTGATAGCTAATTCAAAAATATTCTTATCAATACAGACTCACAAAGCTGGAGAAAGTAGTCTTCCAAGGATATTAATTGAGATATTTAATGCAATGAAAAGATTACATTCAGTCCAAGTAGACAGGGTAGTTAATTATAGGCTGATGATGACCTTGGGACACAAGTATGTCACAAAATCTGAAATCATAATAGATGGTAGGAAACACTCTGCACAGAGATTTGTTTATCTTTGTGGTGAAATGCTGTCACAGATAGTGTAGTCTAGATTTGGTGCAGGCATTGAGAAGGAATTTGAATAAATACCTGCGAATAGCAAATATATCCACAAATAGAAAGTAGGTGGATCATTGGGAACGACATTATACAGTCATCGTGGCCTTCAAGAACTTACTCAATTGTCTTCAGAGTCAGAAGAATTTCCCAGAGCAAAAGGTCTTTTGCTGTCTTCCAGGAGATTGCGTGGGTGCATAGAATGGAAGAAGAATGGGGAAATTGTGTGCAGATGCTAACTTACGACAAGATATGGCAGGTTTCATAGATCATCTATCATTTTCCGTTTTTTGCATATATATGTAAGGGAAGGGAGAGGAACACTAGCATTAATCTATGTGGATCACTTGGAGCAATGCAATAACACAACTGACTGGTCTTTTTGTTGAAAATTCTATTACAGAAATCAGAAGTACCGTGTTTGAAGAATAATTATATGGCGCTGTAAGTATAGTTCCATTATGGAAGAGAAAATGTATAATTCCATGGAACAGCTACAAATACAGGGACTTTGGATCTATAAATCAGAGCCACAATCTTATAAGTCCAAACTCTAACCCAAGTTCCTTGTGAAGGTGACCAGGAACTGGGAGAACAGGATCATGGATTTACCCATATATTTGGCTGTACCGCACATTCTGGTTCTGTCTATCTGGCAGCATTAATAGTCAGTTCTTTCCTTTAACTTTTAACAAAATGGAATCTGCCAGTGGTGCGCAATGAGAAAGTGGTGATAATGTAATATTCTTAGTACAGCGGGCCAACTATCACAGTTTAAGAGCTTCTTAAATAGATAGAGAAACCAAGGAAAAGGAAAGCTCAAACAGTATCGAGGTGAAGAGACAGGAAGATTGCAAACAAGAATAATTGAGAAGATGACGACTTTTAAAGATCAACTTAAAAACCGAGTTATACAAAAGGGCCCTATAAGACCATTACATTAGCCAGCTGAATGTTTTCTGATTCTGGAAGTGTTCCACAACCCAATATACATACAAAGCTCTGCACTTTTCTCACCAAGGAGAAAAGTGAGAAAAAGTGAGTTTGTAGTTAGAAAAAGATGATAGAGGGACTTGTTGGATGGATAACTTGGTACATTAAACTATAAATTTAAATTATGTTAGCATTAGGATTATATGTTTAAGTTGTATGCTTAGGTCTCTCTGTACGATGTAACTGGAACAGAAACATCTTGAACAATAAAAGTCTACAGCAATAAGTCATTACCAGAACCAAAAACAAAATGTAAAGGACACAAAGACCAAGCTTTTAAAGTTACTGAAAAACTGACTCTTGTAGAGTGTTAAAATCAGGCCCACGGAACTTAGTCATATGGATAAAAATGAAATGACTTCTCTGCACAATTATAAGTTCCCAGCCCATCTCAGCTGATATCAGTTTTGGGATCACTAGTAGCAGCAATTCAACTTCTCTGGCCCCTAATCACTGATCTATCAACAGCCAAACAAAGGAAAATTCAGTACAAGAGAAATAAAAGCCCCCCTTGTTGCCACACACCATTCTGATTTTGAATTATTTCGACTTCCTGTGCTGTCATTAGTCAAAATCTAAAACTCCTTTTCTAACAGCATAGAGGATGTATCTGCATCACATGGACTTTACAGATTCAAGAACATGGCTCGCCATCACATTTGCAAAAGCATTTTGTAGTGGGCAATAAATGCTGACCTCGCCCAAGAAAAAATAAATTATTTAAGAAATACTTAAATTTTCTGGAATTGGAGCGACTGCCTACCACCACCAGAGTGGCTTGAAAGTTGACCATTTATTACATATCCAGATCCAAGGGTAATACTTGCTGTTGATCTATTATGAAGAGCATCAACAGAGAAAACAATGCTGCAATTTCCTACTTTATCTTAAAAAGAATTCATTACTGCCTACAATTTCAGGGAGGATTATCTACCTCTTTGAATTACATACTTTTTAACTAACGTTAATATTTTAATTTGATAGTGTCACTGAGAAACACTGGTATCTAAAATTAGATAGTGGTTTTCAGCACCTGTCAGAGGGAATTTGAATACACATTATTTACAACACCCTGCATGAAACAGTAATTGCTCTTTTCACAGGTAATGATTGGATTTGTGAAGACTTAAATCATTACATCACACATATTGTATTAAGAAATATTATTCTTAGGATACTATCAGTATGATTACCACGGTCATCACAACTGAAGTAAAGCTGTAAATGTTAATTTTAACTTTGAAAAGAAAGCTTCTAAACACAAAGAATAAATGGTTAAAGATGAGAATTTTCAGATTTTTAAAAAAAAGTCCTCTGTTGAAGCTGGTCCTCTGGCTGACCAATTCATTGACACTGTAATCAAGCTAGCTGTGAAGGCCATCAGACTTTGCCAGCCCATTCTCCAAACTCTTACACTCATCAATTCTTCAATTCAAATCTTTCTTTACACAAGTTTCACCATCTCTGCTTTAGTCTTCTACAAGATTTTTTTTTTAAAGCTGACATCTATTTTCAGGATATCAATTTTTGGTCATAAGACATATAGATTCCATCAAATAAAATCATGGATGGGACTTAAAAATCTACATTTGTCCACATGACTTGTCAATGGCAATCTGAAAATTGCAGATTACTTCAAAAAGAAAACAACCACTCAACGCTCAGCCTAGGACTAAATGTACCCATACCATTAAAAAATACATTCACTCATTATTTTGAAATTATACATGTCCAATTTGGTTTCACTATCTACCTCTATGACTTCTCTTTCAATACTGAAAATTTTCTTAATATTTTTAGTTGCTCATGATGAAAGAGACTCCACAAAATACACAGCTTTGACCATCGTGAGCATATGACTAACAAATACGGACACTGGCGGTAAGACAACCACCACATTTCGTAAGTCTGAATGAAACCAAAACAAGAAGTCCCCAGTGAACATTCAGATTTGTAAGACTCAAAGAAAAACTTAATGGCAATATTGGGCTGAAATTTGCAGTTTTCTGGCAGTGAGGGAGGTGGAATGGAAAGGAGTGGTCTGCTTGCACCTCCAACCTTGACATCCCAGCATGACGCATCAAATGTCAAACTACTAAACAGCAGCTGCCTGGCAGGAAAGTGTCCAATTAATAGCGTCAAGGGGTCTCTCAGTGACCAATGGGTAGCCTAGGCCAGGATGTTAGGCTGGAGAGGGAATTATGCTCTGAACAAGAATCTGGTTACTGCCATTAATTTAAAGGTCCAATTTTCAACCACTTTTTTTTTAAAATGGCAGCCTCCAAAGATTAAACAAACAAAGTAACATAGAAGTGATATCACATTCACCATCTGACTTTGCCACTTCATGCAACCATAGCACTTTTGGAAGGTCTTTCCTTCCAGTCTTCTGTTGCTTCCTCAAGCATACTGTAACGTGCTCCCAAATATTTCTCATTCCACATGTGGGAAATGGAGTTGGCAGCAAAAGAAATGCACACAATTGTATTTTTAACGAGATCAATAGGTTGTTAATTGGTTATTTTGAAATGGCAATTGGACATCTGACATCAAAGACTAGCATAATGACTTTGAATTGCTGACCTGACATCATCACACCATATTTTGCATATGATGGGGGTGGCCTACCCAATTTGGAGCCATAAAATGCAGGCCATTTCATCTAATAAAAGGAACAGAGAAACAAAGTGTAGGCTTGATCACTGCATAATGGAGGTGGAAGTTAAGGTACTTCAAAATAACAAGGAAAACCAATTCAAACTGAACAGGTTTCTCTGAAGAGCTAATGTTCCTTAAAATAGAGATCAACAGCTTTTAAACACATTGCAACAATACAATCATTTTGGTGGCCTAAAGTGCCAGACTAAAGAAAAAGAAACTTACCTTCAGGTAAAGCATGGATATTTTAAACAAACGTTGACTGCATGATAGAAAAGAGTTATGCTTCTTTGAAATTCCATTATTCTCAAGTACTTTTGCCACAACTTCTTTCAGCATCTAAAAAGGAGAAAAAAACCAGAGTGAAAACTAACATGAAGAAACACTTTTCTGCTCAGGTCCTGTTCTTAAATAGTTCAGGAAATATGTTTTCTTATAGATCAATTCCAAAATATGCTTTCTATCTCTGAACCATGACTTCATGTACCTCTGTTACACTGCACTAGTGCAGTAACACAATTTAGAATGGTCAACTAACATCTATATGAAAGTAGAAACTCCAAGTTTCAAAGAAGATTCTTGTTGGACTTGAAACGTTAACTCATTCTCTCCCCATAGATAGTGCCAAGTCTGCTCTAGCACTTTTTTATTCCTTTGGGAAGAGGTACTTTCAAAAAATCTGACATTATGACAAAATCTCAGCACCACATCTGCAGAGATCATTGAGCAGATGCTACCTGTTAGGCAGCATACATCATCTAGAACACCTCCATAAGTGCCTTTCTACTTCTGAGCATATCAGCTCAAAGAATTCCAACTGATATAAATAATGGTTCTGAGGGCAAAAAAGAATGAGAGCAACTGGAACAACGCCATGTGCAGAATAAATGTCAGTAAGGGAAAGGAGTGTCATCTAAACAAGCAGTGAATTGTTCATAAATTTACATTAACTATCACAATTGATGCATCAGACCCATGACTTGAATTGGAAAATCGGCACACAAGTCCTCACCTTCTCTTGACTACACAAACGAAACCCCAGTTTTGAACTGAAAGCACAGAGGAACAGAAAGAGGGGGAAGTTCAAGTATAGCCAAGCTCCATCCTACTTAAATAGAAATGTTATGTCCCACATATGTTTGTCTTTCACTTGTACGAGAGGAAAATTAGGCACAAAGACAGAAATTGCTGGAAAACCTCAGCAGGTCTGGCAGCATCTGTGAAGAAAAAAATCAGAGTTAATGTTTCGGTCCAGTGAACCTTCTTTAGAACATTGTGAAAATTAGTCACACTGCGTTAAGTACATTGTTATTCTTAGCTTGCTACACAAGAACTTTCTTATATGATAAAATAACTTGATGCTTTCCTTACCCTTTTATGCTTCTGAGATCGTGATTCTTTTTTCACATTTTCATGACTAGCCTTTGTTGCCATTCTCTGAATACGGCTGTTTGGCTCCTTACTGGAAGATGAAACAGCTGCATGCCTTTGAGAGTGATCCCGCAAGCCAGCTATTAAATGAGTTCCATTATTTCCAGCCCCCTGTGATGTTTGTAGTGAATACTGGGAATTGAGGGATTCTGTGCTTTTGGATTTGCTAAGTCTGGGCGAGACAAGGAAATGAAGATTAGTTTTCAATAACATATCTGACCTACTACAACTTCAAAGAAAACTAACCAAGAATCTTATTTAAAATCCTGCTGTTTCTTTTTCTTTTTTGCTGCTTTTCATTGCGTAGCTCTTTCAGCAATTATATGACAAACCAGTGTTACAGAGTCATAGAGCATGGAAACAGATGCTTTGGTCTAACTCGTCCGTGTCGATCAAATAGCCTACATTAATCCAATCCCATTTGGTAGCATTTGGCCCATATCCCTCTAAACCCTTCCTATTCATGTACTCATCCAGATGCCTTTTAAATGTTATTATTGTACCAGCCTCCACCACTTCCTCTGGCAGCTCATTCCATACACGCACCACCCTTTGTGTGAAAACGTTGCCCCTTTTAAATCTTTTCCCTCTTACCCTAAACCTTTGCCTTCTAGTTTTGGACTCCCCTACACTGGGGAAAAGACTTCGGTTATTTACCCTATCCGTGTCTCTTATGATTTTAAAAGTCTCTGTAAGATCTCTCAGCCTGCAATGCACCAGCGAAAATAGTCCCAGCCTATTCACCTTCTCCCTATCGTTTAAACAAACCAACCCTGGCAACATCCCTGTAAATCTTTTCTGAACCCTTTCAAGTTTCACAACATCCTTCCTATAGCAGGGAGACCAGAACTGGGCACAGTATTCCAAAACTAGCCTGACCAATGTCCTATACAGCCACAACATCACCTCCCAGCTCCCATACTCAATGGTCTGACCAATAAAGGTAGGTGTACCAAACACCTTCTTTACTATGACAACAAGGTGCAGAGCTGGATGAACACAGCAGGCCAAGCAGCATCACAGGAGCAGAAAGGCTGACGTTTCGGGCCTATACCCTTCATCAGAAATGGGGGAGGGGAAGCGGGTTCTGAAATAAATAGGGAGAGAGTGGGAGGCGGATAGAAGGAGAGGATAGGTGGAGAGGAAACAAACAGGTCGAAGAGGCGGGGATGGAGCCAGTAAAGGTGAGTGTAGGTGGGGAGTTAGGGAGGGGATAGGTCAGTCCAGGGAGGATGGACAGGTCAAGGGGGCGGGATGAGGTTAGTAGGTAGGAGATGGGGGTGCGGCTTGAGGTGGGAGGAGGGGATAGGTGGGAGGAAGAACAGGTTAGGGAGGTGGGGACGAGCTGGATTGGTTTTGGGATGCAGTAGGGGGAGGGGAGATTTTGAAGCTTGTGAAATCCACATTGATACCATTGGGCTGCAGGGTTCCCAAGCGGAATATGAATTGCTGTTCCTGCAACCATCGGGTGGCATCGTTGTGGCACTGCAGGAGGCCCAGGATGGACATGTCGTCTGAGGAATGGGAGGGGGAGTTGAAATGGTTCGCGACTGGGAGGTGCAGTTGTTTATTGCGAACCGCATCCCAAAAGCAGTCCTGCTCGTCCCCGCCTCCCTAACCTGTTCTCCCTCCCACCTATCCCCTCCTCCCACCTCAAGCCGCACCCCCATCTCCTACCTACTAACCTCATCCTGCCCCCTTGACCTGTCCGTCCTCCCTGGACTGACCTATCCCCTCCCTAACTCCCCACCTACACTCACCTTTACTGGCTCCATCGCCGCCTCTTCGACCTGTTTGTTTCCTCTCCACCTATCCTCTCCTCTATCTATCTTCTATCCGCCTCCCACTCTCTCCCTATTTATTTCAGAACCCGCTTCCCCTCCCCCATTTCTGATGAAGGGTCTAGGCCCGAAATGTCAGCCTTTCTGCTCCTGTGATGCTGCTTGGCCTGCTGTGTTCATCCAGCTCTGCACCTTGTTGTCTCAGATTCTCCAGCATCTGCAGTTCCTACTATCTCACCTTCTTTACTATCCTGTCTACCTGTGACTCCAATTTCAAGAAACTATCCAAAATGGTGGACGGGAGAAAATTGTGGCTTTAAGAGCTGCTCCTTTCTTTGAGGTTGTTTTTCAGTGTTTTCAAACAATTACTTGAACATAATAATAAAAACAAAAGAAATGCAAACACTATCAAATGAAACAAAAGTTCTGGAATGATGAAGCAGTAGGTTATTACCTGTATCAAAAAGGTTAGATTATTCCAGATATTAAGAATCTCACTTGCTTTACTCTTGTGCTTTTTTGAATTTGTTAGATTAATACCGTTTCTCACAACTTACAGGATCATTTAACAGGCTACAAAGAGTTTCCATCTGGGCTGCTTTAAAGTCACAAACGTAATTTCAAGTTGGAGGATGATTCAGCATTTTTTCATCACTAACAAGTCCTACACTCATTTCTGATTAATTATCAGAAGATGCAATGTAGAACGCTTTGCTAGGAGGCTCTCAACTTGCTACACAAATGCTGAATTAACCCCAGTCCTTCATCAGCTCAAGAGCTGTATCAGCATTTGTCAAATGCGCAGTTACAGTAGGAAACAAATAAAATGCAGAACTTGAACCTTAAACAAATTTTAAACCATGCATTAGCAATGGGAATCAAATCCAGAGACAGGAGGACTAAACCAATAAAGTAACAAAATGAAACTGATATTGGCAATAGACAACACAATGGCTTGCAGGATATGTGCTAAGTAATACAACAGGGTTCAACAACTGATACAAAAAGAGGCATGTTATTAAAGATTTTCAAATTGCACTCATCAGGACAAACACAAGAATGCTAAATTTCAAATATTACAATTTGTACTGCAGGAGAAAAGGGTACTGTGTGGTTGGCAAGTGGACTGAGTGTGGCAGAGGCAAAACAATTCAGCAATGTTCTAAATTTCACTGTCATTGTGGTGCCAGGTATGTTTACCACACGCCCCAGTGATTGAGACATTCATCTGCCATTTGATATAGTTTTGCAATTGGGCAGCACTTCCTCAACAATCGTGAGTGCACCAATGGCTGCACTAATAACTAAATTTAGATAAATCAGTCAAGCTTGTAATGTGGCTCATTTAGACTTACTAGAAGCAGCATAGACAGAATGTGTTCCTATTTTAGTGTAATCAAAAGGAATATGTTCAAACCTTGCACTTTTAAAAAAAAAAAAAATAGGCTGAGCTTGGCTACCTATAGTTCCCTGTTGTTTTCTCCATGATTGGCAAGTGGACTCTGGCTGTCAATCAGCAGCCTTTTACCCTGCAATATAAACTCTTAGAAATCTTCTGAGAATTGGTATTCTTGGACTGGCTTTGGCAATATGCCTCTCTTTTCAGAAATATTCCAGTTATCTGATACCAAGTCAATACTGGTAAAAAAGAAGGGAGTGAAAATGACTGAGGGAAACAGACATGCAAACAAATGATTACAAATTAACAGCTATGAGGCTTCACTATGGTCATTTGCAAGCACAGGCTGTTAAACGTCACAAAATACTGCAAATCTGAAACAAATGTACAAAACTGCTAGAAGCATTCAACAAATGAGACTGGATCTGTCAAAAAAAAAGTGAGCATGTAAGTTTCAGACACAACTTCTAGTTGAGTGAAGGCAGACTATATCTCAATGTCAATATTCTTCCATTCAGTACGGGTGCAGGCTGACTTACTAAGTCCTTGCAGCAAGTTATGTTATTTCCGTTTGAAAGTTACCTTTTGCTCAGATGGAAACTCTCCACCTTTCTTGATGTACGCTTTTGTCCAATCCCACCAGTATTTTTCTGATCATTCTGTAAAGCTTCACCATCTGGCACACTTCCAGGTTCTGAAAGGACTGCAGGAGACGACAGTGGGCTTAATCCATAAACAACTGGACACTGCTCTCTTGAACAGGTTGTGTTAGTTTCATAGCGGATAAGGCGAGACTGAAGCTTCCCAAATCGAATATCTTTTTCGAGTGCTCTGCTGTTGTCTAGGCAATACCTGTAATATTTCATACAGTTTCTATTATGGACACAAAATAATCAATTTGGTGGGTAAGCCGTGTTTGTACAATATAATCACATTGGTGCTCTCGCCCAAAAACTGGGCAGATATGATGTTTTATCCTTGGAACATCATCTACCATGAAAGTACACACTAGTCTCAAATACTGGAGATTAGACATCTAGGCTACGAACAGATACTTTTCGGATTTGTATCTTTCAGGATTCCAAGAAGTATATGTAAACGTTGAAGAACAATGTCATTACCAGTAGCCAGAGAACAAGGAGATGATTTAAATCAAGCTGCTTGACACAGAAGGCAATGGATTTGAGAAGGTTTGTCATGACAGGCAACAGATGGACAACTTCAGCAGAATTGAGTGGTGGCTGGATAGCTTTTTGAAGGACAAAATGATTTAGGGGTGTAAATGAACCATAAAGAAAACAATGTTAAGTTATTTTGGAAGAGGCTACAGCATTCATCTTTTCTGGTCTCTCACATTGTTTTGTTCCTTTCAGCTATTGAGCTTCAATAGCCATTGCCAAGCTGCTTACAAGTTAAGCAGTGGGGTCAGCATTGCAATTAGAAGCAACATTCATATGGAGGCAGTACAGGAGGATGCAGCAGGAGATCATGTTTGTTTGCACATCACAAAAAAAGTTTTCTACACGCTAGGTGAATTTGGGACAGCTGGAACAATGCAAATTGTTGTATGGGAAGGTAAAGAAACTGATACCATCATGGTTCTAATTTATTAGGTATCCTTCAAGCAAGTGCATAGGACAGATTAACACTCGATAAACTGCTAACAGTAGGCATGTGTGGGACATATGCCATCTCAACCTAGTGAAAGAGAACAAAGATTAAGTTCAAAGAATTATGTACGAAGGCAGTTTAAGAGGAGGCAGGAACCCAAAAGTACAAAAATAAAATATTGTAGAAGTTGGAAATCAGAAATAAAAACACAGAACATGTTGGAAAAATTCAGCAGGAGAGAAAAACATTTAATCTGTCAGGCATGTGACCCTTCGTCAGAACCGCATGGGTGGACAATTTCTCTGGTCTTAGATGTTTTGTTCTGTTAAATTTTTTTTAAAAATGGCATTGATCTCAAGTTTACAGAAATTGTTTGCTAACACTCCTTATCCATAGTAAGAAAGAAGTAGCTTACATTTCACATGCTAGATTATGTGAGCCTTTAGAACATTATACTCACTCAACTCCATGGTAATGGCATTCTGTAGCCTTTTCAAACGGCAAACCTTTCAACTTCTGCAGAGTCATCTCTGGGGTCAATGGAAACTCATTTTCACTGCAAAGGAAACAGACATTTTCAAAAAAAATACCAGACTAAGATTTGTGCCTTGGCACATTTTTGAACAATTTAAATTTTTCAGCAAGTACTCACTAATTATGCCTACAAAGTAGATGAAATGCAATGCAGTAATGGTAAACAAGATAGATTGATTTAAAAATTGATTTTAAATGATGTTCAGTTCACCAAAAACTTGAAAAAAACACCAATTAAAAATGATAACTTGTGGGAGTGCATCACAAACAATCCAAAATAAGAAAAAAAAATGCTAGAAAATCTCAGCAGGTCAGGCAGCATCTTGAATTTTACGTTTATTTTTGGCTAAGTGAGAGCTCCGTTAAGTTTACTGGAAGAATTCTCACCATGAAGCTGTCACTGTCAGGATATCCAGAGAATACCAGCACACCCTTGCATCCGTGACATCTTTAAAAGTTCACTATGCACCCAAACAAACACCACCATTCCAAAGTTGCCCTGCACAGTTCCTAACATTTGTCGCAAACATGGCAGGCACAGGAAATAGTCACCTGTTTTGTAGGCTTTGCTTCTGCTGGAGAGGGTGATGCAGGACTTCCTCTTTCCCCCCAGTCAGCACTGGAGAACATGACACCAGGCTAAATGTAGTCTAAGTCCCCTGGATGAATGGCTAGCAGGGTTGTAAGAAGGTCAAAGTCCTTCACCACCAGCATAAATACGAATATCTTTTCTCCATTACATCTCTCTCTCTCTCTCTCACACACACACACACACACACACACACACACACAGAAACCAAGGTTCATGGTCTCTGACTCACCCCGTTTCCTGCAACAAGGTCCCTCACTTGTATTCATGCACCCTAACACTACTAAATCTGCATGCCCTCTGTGCTACCTACTCACCTTGCGCAGGACACTGCTCGCCGACACCGAAAGCAACAGTTGTGCAGCCCACTTTTGTCTCCCTAAATACCCACTGGGCTCACATTGTAGGTGGAAAGCAGTCCCCAGTGGAGCAAGTCAGAATCAAAATGGGAGGTGTGCTCCCTGACATTTGGCTCCTCATCCCTTACGTGGAGATCATACTGACTGACTGCGAGTGACAACATCCAAGCCCCTGGCCTAGAACTGGAAGCAGCCCCCATTTTACTGCACAATGATACACTAACTAAAGGCTATTCTTCTTGACAGGGCTGCCGACAACTTGGGTAAGCTTCCTGTCTTTGTGCCTGGGCTAAACAACAAGGCATGTCAGAAACAGGAGCCTTGCATCTCTTATTGTGGGGCCAATAGGCAAGGCACAACAACGTGAGGCAGGGATGCTGTGAACATACGTGCAGGCAGAGTGAGTAAGCACTATGACAGCTTGTTTGGCATGTTTGGTAAGATAGGAAACTGAACATTAACGGAGGTGAGCTGTAACATTAATAAGGCAAACTTTCTAATTGGCAACTCACGGTTGCCACTGAGAAACTTGCCAAGTTACTCAGTATAAGAATAAAAGATGGCGTGAATTTGTCTCGATATCCAGGAAAGACTCACCAGACATGTCATCTGATTTGACCACAGATCTTGCCCAAGCACACGGTCACCCAGACCTCTAAAAGATTCTGCCCAGTATTTCAGTTTAAACGTCTTTTTAGCAACAAGTCCTGAAAAGGGACCTCTGTTTCTCTCCACAGATGCTGCCAGACCGGAGATTGTCTGGCTTACTATTCTTATTTCAGATTTCCAGCATCTGCGTTATCTTGCTTTTGTATTATCATTTACTGTTTATCTTCAAAATTTCACAGCTTCTCAATTTTTTCTTGTAATTCAACTAGATTATAATATTTTAAGATAACAGCAAGTATGTTTCAAAAAAGAACTTTTGCATTTTCCCAGAAATACCCTCTTGGAGCCTTGTAGTATTTGCGACTCTACCAGTGTGTGTTACTGGGCAAGGTCTGTTTTAGGTAGCTGCTCTGCTGTGACTTGCATCTATCTTGCAATTAGTGGTAGAGGAGACACCACTGTAGTTGTCTACACAAGGAGGCACTGTTCGTCGATATCAAAGAGGGTTAGTGCATGATATCGATCAGTACGATGATATTTGATCAGGCATAATTACTAGGACTATAGCTAACTAGTACAGATATATCCGCTCCCTCCTAAAGTTCGGAGTAGAACTCCTTGTCTTACCCCATGCACTCTGTGATTTCACTAGAATGGGTGGAGCCAGTGAATGTTAACCACTTGAGAATCATTACTTTATACAACAGAAACTATATCATCATTTTGTAGTAAATATCCTTCTGCGCCAATGTGTTTTAGTATTAACAAACTACTTTGAAGCAAATTAGGAATGAGATTATCTGTTTAATAGATGGCAGAGTTAAAACTAATCAGAAAATATGGATTTAAACAATTCCATTTGTATTGTTTCATCATCTTGGATGACGGTAGATTGCAACGAAAGCTAATAAGTAAATGACTGTTTCTTTGTCTTCATTTTATCTTTAAAAGCTGTTTCAACCTCCCTTGATAGTGTGCGCTGTTTGCTCAGGTACTGTTCCAAAGGCATCAGATAGCTATTCCCTGGTTTCTGATAGAAGCTTGTTTAAGAATGCGGCACACCAGAGGTTTTATACAACTTATCTTGTCAGTGATGAAATTAGACTACATTTGAAAGCTGATGTTCCACTGTATCATATTCACTTGTCCCCAGATTAGAAGAAAAATTGAGATGCAAAACTCTGTGTACCCTCGCTGTATCTGTAAAGGTTGGAGCTCAGCAACTGGAAAACCTTCAGGTGTAAAATACTTCAGTAGTTCTTTGGCGTCAAGCTGAACTGGAAGTACTCTTTGGCTATCCTGGAGTCCCAACAGTGTCTCAGATGAGCTTGTTAACATAGAACCAACTCTGAATGCGAATATAAAAACAATTAGAAAAGAAACACAGTAAAAAGAGATAACTTGCATTCCTGTAGCAATTTTTATAACCTCAGGATGTTCCAACATACCATAACCAATGAGATACTCCAGAAGTATAATCATTATTGTGACATAGAAAATACATAGGCTTAAACTTTGACTCACAACTTAGTTCACTTCTATTTTATTTACTTATCACCGATGTTCTATTGGCTAAACATCACAGCAATGTTAATCAATTCATAATAAAGTCTGGTCAAAAAGAATACAGGAGAATTACTCGTTTGTGACAAGTAGCGTTTCCCAATTTCACTCATGAAAGGACTGGTTCTAATTAATACCCGATGCCCCCGGTCCTAGATTGCACAACCAGTGGAAACAAATTCTCTCTATCTAAACTATCTGTTCCCTTAACACCTTGAAAATAATTCATTCAAAATCACCCATAAAACTTCTAAATGTCGATAAATACAATCTTAGCTTAACCCTTCAAATCCAGGTACCATTCCAATAAATCTATACTGCACTACTTCCAAATTCAATATATCATTCCTGAAGGCTTGGTGCCCAGAACCGCATAGTACTCAGGTGTGGTTTAACCAGGGCTTTGTACAGTTGAAGCATTATTTCTACACGCTTGTATTCTAGTGTTAGTTATAAAGACAAGCACTGAATTAGCCTTTTCGTTGAAGATATGATGAATAGGTACAGAAAATAATCATCTGTGCACCTAGATCAAGTCACTTTGGATGTGCACTGTTTCTACCTTTTCAACATTTAGAAAGTGCATGATCAGCTGAAAATTTTTAAGGTGTTCAATAACTAGTAACAATCTGGTAAATAATTATATGCTAAAATAATGTGGCTCATATAAGCTTGTCCTCATAATAAAGAACATTTTGCTTTGGTGAACTTTAATTTGGGCTGGTTAAGTACAATCAATATTCGGCCTGTCACAAACAGTCAGAGACACGTGCTGTTGGATACAGTGCACCAGCCATTCAAATGTATGGCCTACATACCTGACATCCAACTGGCACTGAAACTTACAGACCACATTACTTGTTTGTGTGCTAACTAGAATATCTTTTTTAGCTTGATGGCAGCTTCCGGTCAGTGGAAAATTCTATGCATATGCTACTGCACATTGCAACATGAAAAGGCTAGTTTTACCTGGTACCAAGTGTTTGACATTTTTTACCTTTCACAGTAATTAAAAATAGTCTGGGCAGTTTTCAGTACCAAACCAGACAATTTCACAGAGTCTGGCAAATGCTGTCTGCTGTTAAATCCCAGCAAGTTGATATTTTAATAACAAACTAAATCAAAAAGTGCTAAAGACTTCTGGTTTCAATCTTAATAGAAGAAAATGTTGCACAAGGTTTTGTTCTATTAGCCCTATTTCTCCCACCACCTACATTTCTGTGAAGATGCCAGCAAAATCATGAAACAAGATTCAAAATGTTCACTTTTTTTGACAAAGTAACAATTCTGTACTGTGTAAAACAAGGTCAATGCTTCAATCTGCATTTATTACCTACTGTGACCCTAAAGAAATTCATTGGTTACATTCTTAATGTATCATTATGAAGTGCAAGATGTTTCAAAATAATGGCCATTTCTCTCAGGGTCCCAAGCTATTGGTTTTGAAGTGCTGCTACCACATTTGCTGGATCAAACACAATCACATCACCATAAAGCAATGCTTCCAAACTTTTCCCACTGTGGCCCATGTTAAGGCTTGAAATTAATGCTATTTCCAAGTGATAATTGCAGGAGGGAGGGAGTGGGTGAGGTTGTCAGTTGGAATGGGAACACTGCTGTTCTTCCTCAGTCAGAGCTCTTTGATGGTTGTTGCTGCCTTGGAGCCCGCAACCTTTAAGTTTCAGGTTATGGTCCCCACTTGGGAAGCTCTCCCTTAATGATTTTGTATAAAGAAAAGGAATGTTGCCTTAGAATGCAGCTGTGTGGCTATTTATATCTCCAAGTGTCAGATTATTGGATTAAAACCAAACACTTAAGCTCAGTCAAGAGATCGCCCCGTTGTGTTCTCTAAGGGTAAGTGTATTTCCTTCCCAAAAAATACACAGGAATTTGTTTTTGCTAATGCAGTTTGAAACTGGGTGATGCAGCAGGAGAGTGTTCCATCTAAAACCGTAATTATTCAACTAATAAACCACTATCCACATTTAAAGTAAGAACATGCCCCCAACACTCATACTTAGAAATTGCTGTTTTTTTTATTTGCATAAAACAAAAGCTTTAGCGGCTTGTTTCTCCTTCTTTGGATATTGTGCATTTACAGGAGTATTGTCTACACAGACAATAAAATAACAACAACCTTTCAAACTGATGTGAAATCCATCTCTACAATGTCAGAACTTGAATACATTTGGCAGAGCACTTAGGGAATAATGAGTGAATTAGGATATTAGAATCACTCTCTTAAAATACAAAGAGGTTAAAAAGTTTGGTGAAGGCAGACCACAAAGTGGGAATTCAAGAAAGAAAATTAGAAATTAGATTTATATCAAGCAAAAAAAAATATGTTGGGTAGCATAGTGTATTTATTTTTGTATTATTATAAGCAAGCTGTAATGGTGCAAATAATCAAAGCCAAACCTAATCATTACATATATTCATCCAAGTAGTAAGATGACAATAACGATTCACATTTGATTTTCAGCTTGTCATGATTTTGATCAGTTCAATACTAGTGAAGACAGTCAAAAAGGGCTAATTGAAAACTTTGTTGTAAAGGAACCTTTAGGGATGAGCAATCATAATAGGGCTGAATTTTACATTATGTTGGAAAGTGAGGCAGTTCAATTTGAAGCCAAGGTGTCAAATGTGAACAAAGGAAATTTTGAAGATGTGAGGACAAATCTGCTGACATAGATCAGGAAAATACATTAAAAAGGTATGACAGTAAGCATATGAAATAGGCAATGGTTAGTCTTTAAAGAATTATTACACAGCTTACGTTCCTTCAAGTCATAAAAACTCTCAAAATGTCAGTTAACTATGACTAACAAAGGAAAATAAGGACTACATGATAACAAAAAAGGCGCTTAAAGTTGCCAGAAATAGTAGAAAACCTGAGGATTGGGAGGATTATTAAATGCAACAAAGGCGGACCAAGAAAATTGACTGAATAGAATGAATGCATACTAGAAAAAAACCCACAGCCTATAATACTTCTATAGTTATGTAAAAAAGGAGACTTTTGATTAAGACATATACAAGTCCATTACAGGCAAAGTCAGAGGAGTTTATAATGGGATATTTAATGAGAAATAGCAGAGAACTTAAATAATTTCTTTATATTCGTCTTCACCAAGATATCTTCACCAAAAAGAGAAGCTGAATAAATGATAACAAGAGCTGAGAGTTTGAATTGGTGTACAAATCATATTCAATTCCAGAACCTGTTCTCTGTCGACATGTCTTTTTTAAAAATCTTATTACACATGTCAAAAAAAGAACAGGAAATAGAAATCGTTTGATTATTGTGCGTGACCTTCAGATATTAATTAAAATTAGAGATCCAAAGGACTAGGAAAAATGAAGAATTGAAGGAAATTAGTCTTAGTAAGGCAGCTGTGTTATAGAAATTAATGGGACTAAAAAATTGACTTGTGTCTAAGACCTGATATTCTACACCCAAGTGTTGAAAGGAGGTAGCTATGGAGGTGGTAGATGCATTGGTGGCCATTTTCCAAAATTCTACAGATTCTGAAATGATGGTGACAAATGTTTCCCCATTATTTTAAAAAAAAAAGCAGAGAGAGAATATGGTAACTACAGAGAAAATGTTAGGATCTTTTATAAAGGATGTGTAGGAATAAACAGATCATTCTCATGTTGGCAGGCTGTGACTAATGGAGTACCACAAGGCCCAAAGAACTGTTCAAAACATGCATCAATGATTTTCAACAAAAACAGAAGTTTCTGGCAAAACTCAGGACATCTGGTAGCATCTTTGGGGCGAAAACAGAGTTAGCATTTAGTCCAGTGACTTTTCACCAGTTCAGCAGTAGGCCAGGACAGAAGAGAAGCTGAATAAATGATAACAAGAGCTGAGAGTTTGAATTGGTGTACAAATCATATTCAATTCCAGAACCTGTTCTCTGTCGACATGTCTTTTTTAAAAATCTTATTACACATGTTAAAAAAAGAACAGGAAATAGAAATCGTTTGATTATTGTGCGTGACCTTCAGATATTAATTAAAAAGAGGAATGAAGACAGATGAATTTTAAAAAAAAAGTTTCTCATCATTCGACGTTTATGTTCAAGATTACAAAGTTGGTGCAGCAAGCAATTAAGAAGGCACGTGATATGTTGGCCTTTATCATGAGGATTTTAGTGCAGGAATGAAGATAACATAAATGCAAAAAAAAAAAGGCCAAATGTGTTCAGTTCCGGACACCCTTTTTAAGGAAGGATATTAAAGTCCAGGAGAGAGTTCAAAGGAGATTTACTCAAATGATACCAGGAATGAAGGGTTTTAGATACAAGGAAAGATGAGAGAGATTGTACTTATTCTCCTTGGAGCAGAGAAGCTTAAGAGGTGACCTTATTGAGGTGCTCAAAATCAAAAACAGGTAGTAGTATTTTTTTGTTTCCGTTTCCATTAGTTTCTATGTCAGTAACAAGGGTCACAATTTCAAGATTGTCAGCAAGAGAGCTATGAGTGAGATGCAGAGAAACTTCTTTCCTCAGAGTTGTTAGGCTTTGGAATGCACTGCTTGGGAGAGTCGTAGAGACGGATTCCATAGGAGTTTTCAGAAGAGAGCTGGATATATATTTGAAAGTGATAAAATTAAAAGTCTGGAGAGTGGGACTAGCTCTTCCAGGAGTCAGTACAGACACAGTGGGTCAAATGGCCTCCTTCTGTACTGTAAAATTCTATGATTCTAATAGTTAGGCTTTGCTGAAAACAACCCATGTCATGAGATAACAGGGCTAACAGTGGGTGAGAACGGGTTGGCTGTACTGAAAGCAACCAATGTCGTGACAGGATCAGGGTGTAGGAGTGGGATACAAAAAAGAATTGGAAGGACGGAATTAGACTCTAAAGTTATTGAACTTTATATCGAATCCTAGAGGCTACAGGGCCCCAAGCAGAAAATGAGGTTCAAGCTTGCACTGACGCTTGCTGGAGCACTGCAGCAGGCCTGTGACAGAAACTTTGCCATGGGAACATGTTGAAGTGGGACACAACTGGAAGCTCAAGGTCATTTTAAACAGACAGAATGTAGATGCTCTGCAAAACAGTCACCATATCTGTGTTTCATCTCCCCAGTGTAGAGGAGACCACACTGTGAATAGAGAATACAGTAGACTAGATTGAATGAACAGCAGGTAAATCGTTGCTGCACCTGGAAGGTATGCGTAGGTCCTTGAACGGTGAAGAGGGAGGAGGTAAATGGGCAGGTATCAAACCTTCTGCGATTGCATGGGAAGGTGCTGTGGTGGTGTGGGGAGGTGTTGGGATTGGAGTAGGAGTGGACTAGAATGTCCAAAAAGAACAGTCTCTGCAGAGTGCGACAAAAGGAGGGAGGGGGAATGTGTGTCTGATTTGGATGAGGAGACCAAATGTAATATTTACAAGTTTAGGGATGGCACAAAGTTCAGGTGAGAATGTGGGCTGTGAGGGGGATTTAAAGCATCTTCAAGAGGATTTGGACCGATTTAGTGAATGGTCATATATATGGCAGATGGAATGTAATGTAGAAAAATGGGAGGTTATCAACCTTGGAAGAAGATACAGATATGCAGGGTATTTGTTAAATGGTAAACGGTTGGATGGAAACAAAGCGACCTAGGTTCCATCATCAATGTCAATAAAAGTTAACATGAAGATGCAACAAGTAATTAGGAAAGTATATTAGCCTTATTGTAAGAGGACGCAAGTACAGAAGTAGCAATGATCTGTTTCAATTGTATAGAACTTTGATTAGTGGTAATGTCACTCGACTAGTATTCCAGAACCTCAAGCTAAAGTTCTGGCATTGAATCTTATCAAGGCAGATAGTAAAATTTGAATTCAATAAAATCTAGAATAAAAACCTAGCTTAATGGCAACTGTGCAATTATTGTCAATCACTGTGAAAACTCAAGTGGCTCATTAAAGTTCTTTAGTGAAACAAATCCACCATCCTGACCTGGTCTGGCCTGTACATGACTCCATATCCACAGCACAGTGGTTCATTCTCTACTAAACGGCTAAGCAAGCCAATTTATTCCAAAGCAATTGGGAAATAAATGCTCACCTAGCCAACGACACCCATATCCCACGAACAAAAAAATGGTTTTCTACTGAACAGATGAACCCAAGATAGTTAACTCAGAAAAGACTGTTAAGGGGAGCAACTGATAACACTGATCCAATTAAAGTATCTGTGGCAAATCCACCTTCCTAACAGGACATAGTGACTTACTTCGTGAATATACAAGTGCAACGTGAACTGTATCACTTTGTTCATATTTGATTTCAGATTGATCTTCAAGAGCACTCTTTGATCACAGTACTGTATGTCATCTACCGAATTCAAATTTAGACAGTACAAACAATATATAACCAGAAACTAAGAGTGCTCAAAAAAACTGTTATGATTGGTTAATTCCAACATTTTCAAATAATTACTAAATAGATGAAAACTAGACAGCTGTAAATGAGCACTGTTCATTCTCATTTCAAAATCCAAATTTTTGAAAAAGTCTGGTTCCTTTCAATTGAAGCAATAAATATGAAAAACATATTTCACCTGGACTTCTGTCTAATTCTTTCAAGATTTTCATAGTTTTCAAGAACACTTCTCTCAGGCTGCTGTGATGGGCTTAGGGTTGAGCTGTCAGTTTCTAGATAGACAAAAGTTTAAAATGAAATATTTACAGGATGCATAATTTTTTTTCAAACAATCAGATGTGTGCACATTGTATTTAAAGGGGAAGAAAAGGCTATTAGAGTACATCTGGTTCAAAGCATTTTCCTTTCCAATATACAGGAAAAGTGTTTTCAGCAGGAATCTTACATGATTTTTAAAAAAACAACCTGGCAATTTACATCTAATAAAAAAATCATTGACCTGAACAATTGGGGGAAACTTCGGAGACTATCAGATGGACTGCAGCAGTTCAACAAGTTGATTCATAACCACCTTTTCAACAGTAATTAGGGAATGGGGAAATCCACAATTAGTGAAAGAATTAAAAGAAAAAGGGGTGGGGCATATTTGGCAGTTAAATTCAGAGAATACATTCCAATATCCATGTGATTTTTTTCTAAAAACGAATTAACCTACTTTTCTAATCAACCTGTTCAGAGATGGTATTACATACCTCTGGAAGAGGTGGGACTTGAACCCCGGCAACTTGGGTCTAGGGGCAGGGGCATTAGCACTGTGCCACAAGAGCCCTCACATCATCTTGTTAGAAGCAGATTAGCCGTGGAAGCAGCTGCCCAACAGGCAGCAGTAGGCAATAATCAATGACAAATTATGCGCATAAGTAATGGATAGGGAGGGCTCCACTGGGAGATTGTCTACAGTGGAGCAATTTCCCACAAAATGCTAAGCCCAATGACTCATCAGAGGCAGTATCCTCCCAGTGGTAGGCAGTTGGTGAACAATGGTTATGGGATCGAGGGCAGGAAAAGCCACAGTCATGGCCCAAACAAACTCACATGAGGGATTTCACCAGAAGGTGCTCTCAGCTTCAATCCTCAGGATTTCAATACTTTTTTTGCACAGCTCTGAGATGACCTCTCACTTTACTTGCTGCCTCAGCAGCATCCTCTGCTCCTCTTGCTGGTGTTGGCCTCCCAAAGCAGCTGGCTCTATGAATGGGCCACCAGCCATAAGAACTTGCTCTTCATCTTTAATTCAGACAAGACATGCATTTGTCACTAATGCAAGAACACTAGGTACAGACTGATGGTCATAAGGAGAGAAATGAAGTAGAATGTGGCTATACTCATTGGAATTTAAAAGAACGAGAGGTGACCTCATTGAAACATTAAAAGATTCTGAGGGGACTGGACAAGGTAGATGCAGAAAGGTTGTTTTCCCTCCAGAACCCGAAAGTATAATCTCAAAAGTAAGTGATCATACATGAGGAGGAATGTCTTCTCTTAGAGTGTGTTAAATCTGCAAAATCCTTTCAGACAGAATGCTGTCAAGGCTGGGTTGTCAAGTATATTCAAGGCCGAGATAGGAAGTTCTTTTTGCTGCAAGGGAATCAAAAGTAATGGGGGAAAAGGCAGGAATTTGGAATTGAGAGAGATCAGATCAGCCACGATCTCACTGATAAAAACCGAAAAAACACAGATACGGATGCTGCAAATCAGAAACAAAAACAGAAACTGCTGGAAAGGCTCAGCAGGTCTGGCAGCACCTGTGAACAGAAATCAGAGTTAATGTGTCAGGTTCGGTGACCCTTCTCACTCAGTCTGCTCAGCCATTCAATGAGCTGAAAGGTCTACTTCTGCTTTCATATCTTATAGCCTTATTTTGAAAGGCCGTTCTGCCTACTAACTTAGTTTCTCACTCTACTTTGTTTCCAAAATTGTCTGTTTGTAGATCAGATTTCTAGTATCTGTGCCATTTTATTCTGTCAATTTCACACTAACAGTTTGGCTCCTCTAACGAAAAGAGAAATACTCAACAGGTATATAAGCATCTGTGCAGAGAGAAACTGAGTTCATGCATCCTTTATCAGAATCATATTTCCAGTATTTACTGCATTTTGCTTTGTCTCAGGGTTGCTTCAATAGTGCCATCACAGCAGTGTTGTTGAGACTTCCAAAGCAATGCTGGAGCAAATGATAGGAGATACAGCTTGAAACCAGCATGAATGACACCCTGCGGATACTTAATCTTACAAATTATGCTAGGTTAGTTTGCTTTTCCTATAAAACAAAAGAAACATTAAAAAATTTCTAGAATTCAGATATTTCCATTATTTCAAAATCTCAGCCCACAACTGCAGGTCTCTCTATAGCTTCATCCCACCCTCTATAACCTTTTCCAGCTATACATTCAAGCTTGAAATCCCTGATCTTTGGTATACCCATTACTGTACATCTCATTCACTCCAGTCCCAACTACTTGACTTTGGCAATCAAGTTTCTGCTCACTGAAACTCGCTTCCCAAAGCCTTTGTTGTTACATAACTTTTCCTCTTTCTAATGGGCCTCAAAACCTACCTCTTCAGACTTCCTGAAGTCTGCCCTTATATTATTTCTAATTCCCGCTGATAAGACACTTATTATAAATTTTTAAGTAAACGGTATCTTACTACAGGCAACTTGCACTGATATCCACGCACTATTTTTAGTGGATCTATTAACTTACCTACATTTCTTGAATTTAAATGAATATTTGAAACAAATATAGTTGAATTTGAAAAAAAATGACCTAACTGATCAAACTAAAGCTAAAAATTGTCAGTTAGTATACGAATGTTACATCAAGTACTTTCTAGCTTGGTTGAAAGCTGTTGTGTATGTTAACAAGCACAATTGACACTGTTGGTTACATTTTGTTGTTTCTAAGGCAATTATAGTTCTTGGCAGACCTTTAAAATCAAATGCCAAAATGTTAAGATTTGAAATGGAGGGAGGGGAGAAGTAAAAACTGTAAACTGTCAAAACTCTATCTAGAATCAATTCCAAACAGACAACTTTTATTTTAGATTTTCCTCCTGTAGGCGTAGAAGGCATACTTCACAGTAACTATTTAGAATTTGGCAGCAGCTTATTGTTTAAATTGTATCTAGCCACTGTCAGTTGACAAAAATCAGTTCACACTCCAGGAATTAATAAGAGAAACCACTGACACCCAGCAAAACTGTATCATCAGCAAGTAACTCTAAATGGTTAAGTATTGCTAGTCAGCAGTTTTTCTCAGGCATATTTTTCTGTAGCCATATTTATTGAAGGTAAGAGTTAAGAATATCAAATATTTGAACATGTTTAAAATTCAATGAGTGGTTTCAGCGCTGCATTATAACTGACAATAAGTTTTACCTGAATTGTGTATTTATGGAAAATGCAAGACTATATTTGTTTTGTTTTCTAGAGACGCCATCATTTTCCTTTGCAATTACCCTGCTAAATTAAGCTACATTTGACTGAACTTAAGAATATGATGCGTTGTGGTTTCTTGATTGATGTGAAATATATTGGAACTCTCAAAACCGATGCAGCACATAATTCTTTTACATACTTCCTGCTCCTTAGGTGACCAGTCTGCCCTCTCTTAAAAGGGTAACTTGATTGTAATCATTGCTCCTAATGTGTTCTGCACTTGTAATTATTTTTTCCTCTTAGTTCCAATTCATAACTCTGCTGTTCCTTGGTTGCATTTTATATCTACTCCAGTCATCACTTCTAATTTAAAAATATATTTTTAGAACCTCTTTATATTATTTTCCTGTCCTTGTTTAGTCAGCCAATTCTGCCTGCTATGGGAAGAGTGTTGTGAAACTTGAAACGGTTCAGAAAAGATTTAGAAGGATGTTGCCACGGTTGGAGGGTTTGAGCAATAGGATGAGGCTGAATAGGCTGGGGCTATTTTCCCTGGAGCATCAGAGACGGAAGGGTGGCCTTATAATGGTTCGTAAAATCATGAGGGGCATGGATAGGGTAACTACACAAGGTCTTTTCCCAGGATGGGGGGGGGGAAAAAAAAAAGTCCAAAACTAGAGGACATAGGTTTAAGTTGAGAGGGGAAAGATTTAAAAAGGGACCCAAGGGGCAAGAAGGTGGTGCATATATGGAATGAGCTGCCACAGGAAGTGGTGGAGGCTGGTACAATTACAACATTTAAAAGGCATCTGGCCGGTATATATGAACAGGAAGGGTTTAGAGGGATATGGGCCAAATGCTGGCAAATGGGACTAGATTTATTTAGGATGTCTGGTCAGCATGGACAAATTAGACTGAAGGGTCTGCTTCTGTGCTGTATATCTCTATGGCTCTATTGCAACTAAGGATGGCTAATAAAGGCAAGCCCTGCCACTGCTGCCCACATCCCACAAAGAACGAACGAAAGAACGAACAAATGAAAGAACCAAAGAAAGAAAGAAAAATAAATTACTTTGGTTAGGTCTGAGTCTTTCAAAATCCTCTTGAAAAGAAAGAAACATTGCTTCCATTCACTGGTAAAATGGCTAGGTCTAGCTTTGTGAAACTCTGTTCATTTTGCCATTCTCTCTATTTTTCCTTCGTTAACATCAGTCTTAATTCCACACAAATCCCCTGAAGCTGAAAGCTGCCAATTGTTTGATCATTTAGAACTCCTTGTACATTGCTGAACTCTGGGTCTAAGTGGTCTGAGTACTTTATTTCACATCATCAGGAGCAGACATCTCCCATCAACTTTATTTCTTTCATTCTCTTCTGTCAGGTTAATCCTTACTCTATCCAATTAATTGCAGACTTGTTTTAAAGATACAAATCATAAGCACATTTAAATGGCATTTTAAGCTGTGAAAATCAATTAATGATAGAAAAGAGGGCATCAGACATTTAATTATTTGTGCAATTCAAAGCTCTCGGAAAGAGCACCGAGTAATTATAGAGACAATCGTACTTAAAAATGCTGAATTTTTACACAATATATAAAACTTACCAGTATGGTTAACTGTGTCTTCTCGTCTTTGACATACATTGCCCGATATATTGCTTGGCAGGTTCCTGCCATATCGCCCGAAGTACTGTTCTCGCACCAAGGTTAACAATGCCTTCAATTCATTAATTGGAATCAATAAAGGAATTTTACTCATCTGCCTGCTTTCTGTATAAATAAAGCAAAGGGTAACTGTATTATGGAAATAGCAAAACAAAATATTACTTAAGTAAAATGCTCATCATATTTCAAAGCACACTGAATTTGCTCATGAAATACAAAGTTTCTTGTCTAAGTTTTGTGGGTTGGAGCTGCAAGTGATTATTCCATCAAATGGAATGCACTAAATTAAAAAGAATTGTGGTGCAGTTTACTCACAATATTCCATGGTTAATCAAGAATATTTGGAGGGGATGATAATCCATCTACCAGGGGTGCAATATTGTGGTGCCTGGTAATCTTTAAGTCACACTGCATCAGTCATAGCAGTTTCATGACATTTAACAAAGATGCACTGAATTAGGTAAAACATTTGAAATATGGCTAAAACATGACAGCTATTACAAACAAAAATTGAAAGGTTCATAATATGTGGATAAATTTAAATTCTATTCAATCCGACAATTGTTGAAAGCATTCACATATAACCCATAGTGATTTCTGATCATGATGTTAAAATTTTAGTGTTAATGGCCTATATTTTGTGGTCAGCAGTGAAGCAAGGATACTCACTCGTGCCCTCTACAAAAGTTGCCCACGAAGATATAGTAATCATTGGCATGCATTTTTCATTCCCAACAGAAGTGCAGGTAAGCAACCAATCACACTGAAGCATTCATTTAGATAGCAAAATAGCAAGTTTAAAATCACTTGATTACCTTCATTTTAATTTAAAATGTCAGTTAACAATATAAATTATGATGATTGGATTAAGAGAGAAGCCAAAAGAAAGAAACAAACTAAATTTGAATTTCACAATTTTTGCCATTGGAAAAACTTAACATTCCACAAACACAAAATTAGCTTTTTAAGGGCATATTCCCAGTCTTGCTCCAGTCTATTTCAAACCGAATATTCCCCATGTAACCTTTGACCTTGAGTATGTGACAACAGATGCAAATTTCTGGTCAAGTTTCTGTGCTTAATTAAAATGATAACTCCAAGGCAGTCAGTTGTGGTATATTTCATGTGGGTCACCTAGGCTCGTCACATGGTCACAGCTGGCATTTGAGGTTAGCAGGATCTTTGGTTTTTGAAAAACAAAATTTTAGTCCACAAAAGTTTTAGGCATTAAAGTTAAATGATGAAAGTTAAGGACTGAAAGTTCATTTTCACTACAATATGAATTTCCAAGAAATACAAGCCTGGTTTATTCCTCAGTCTCAGCCTTACACCCTAAATAAGAATGTGGTGAATCTGCACTGCAATCTTTCCAATTCTAACATATCCCTTCTAAGGTGCAGTATTCAGAACGGTACACAGATCAGCAAATGTAATTCAACCAGGGCTATGTTTTACCACAAGAAAATCATCCTCCCCTTTTACATTCTAACTTCTAGTTTTAATTTGTAGCATTTTATTAGGCTTTTTGATTAAAAGAAATCTCTGCTCACTCAAGCATAGTGATCAATGTACATGGACTGCCAATGTTCCTAACTTTAGGGCAACATGGTGGCTCAGTGGTTAGCATTGCTGCCTCACAGTGCCAAGGACTTAGGTTTGATTCCAACCTTGGATGATTGTGTGGGGTTTGCATGTTCTTCCTGGTCTGCATGGGTTTATGCCAGGTGCTCCAGTTTCCTCCCAAAGTCCAAAGATGTGCATGCTAGGTGGATTGGCCATGCTAAATTGCCCCATACTGCCCAGGGATGTGCAGGCTAGGTGGGTTAGCCATAGTAAATATGCAGGGTGATGGGAGGGGAGGGTGCAGGTCTGCATAGGCAGCTTTTTGGAGGCTTGGTGGAGACTCAAATGGACCAATGGCCTCTTTCTGCATTGTAGGGATTCTATGATTTTTCACCATTCAAAAACAAAATAATTGGTACTATAGTTTTGAGTCCAAAATGGATGACCTTACTATCTGAATTGAAATCAAGCAGTCAGAGTTTATCAATGTTTGTTTGTAATTATGCTTTCATCAACATAATATACTATGTCACCAATATTTGCACCATTGACAGAATCAAACATAACTGCTATAGTATTATTCAAGACATTAACAATAAAGCCAGTAGTTGAGACTTCAGTACAGATCCTTGTGGGCACCATGAGTCACTTCCTTTCAATTTAAGTGCTTATCATCCTTCATTGCTAACTTCTATCATTCAAGTCATCTCCTAACCAACTGAGCAATTTGTTTTCCTTCAATTAGCTAATATTCTCCTATGTAAGGCTTTATAAATATAGGTATAGGGTTGAAAAGAAAAGAATTTATGCAAAATCTTTATACATCATTGGTTAAGTGTCAGCTAGGGTATTGTGCCCAATTCCGAGTGAGAAATTTTAAGAACATTACTATGGATATGGGATTGGTCATTGGAGAGATTAAAGAGACAGGAGAAATTGAGATTGTTCACCTCAGAGCAGGTTGAGTAAGGAGACTTAGTAATGAAACTAATTCATTAAATTAAATTAAAGAAGGATTTTAGAAGAGTAAATAAAAGAAATGGTGCCCTCTGGCAGGATGGTCAGTAATCAGAGCCCATGAACTATAAGGTAATTGATAAACTAAAGGGTAGAGGAGATTTTTGTGTACATGGCGACTTATTACCTGGATTGCACCAGCCAAAAAGGATACTGGAGCAGATTTAATAGTAATTATCAAGAGGGAATTTATATCCACTTCAACAGGAAAACAAATTGCAGTATAATAGGGGGAAAAATAAAGCAGGGGATTAATTAGACCTCTTCTAAAAGACTAGCATAGGCACAATGGGTTGAGAGTCCTCCTTTTCATTGTATGATTCTAAGACTGGGCCCAACACTAACCCACACTTAATAACCAACAATGTACGTAAGATTATGTCTTTCCAGATTTAGGCATATCTCTTTTCTGGATGTTCAGGTGATTCAGAGACCTGTTGTACAATACAATTACAAGACTTACTGAGAAACTCTCTTAAAGCAAGCGTTTGAACTTGTGTCAGTTTCTTCTCTCTGTGTACTAGCTGGTCTCCAGTAAGATAAGGCATTGCCTCAAGAAGCTCTGCAACATCACACTCTGCAGATGAAACACAGATTAGTATAGACAGCAGCTGACAGAAGCACATTCTGTTTCAATATTTTTGCCGTTTATCATGAGTTAATTAACTTATTTTAATTAGCTCATGAAACAAATTGAGTATTGCATTAGCACTCTTGCAGAAGTTAATTTAAAATGGATACCCATGCATTAAATTTTACTTTAAACTCTATTCTTGATTTATTTCTTCTGAGCAGTTTGATGGCTGCCATATACATGTTTGAAATTTTGGGTGCTATATGACAGAAGCTCACCAAAAACTGTAAAGGATCAGTGACCATTCAAGATGTGATGTTTTTATATTTTTCCCTGAAGTCAAAACTCCCTCCCTAACAGCACTATAGATCTATTACAGCACATGGACTGCAGCAATTCAAAAAGACAGCTTACCTTCTCAAGGAATGAATAATAAATGTTGGGGTGCAGACAGTGAAGCCCACATCCTGTGAATGTACAAATCTATACTATTTTCTTTATTAATTAGGCGATTAAAAAAAAACGCTTTGTTCTCAAACACGTGCTAAACATACCTTCACAACATGGGCTACAGCAGTTCACAAATGTGGCTCACTGCCACTTTCTCAAATGCACCCAAGGATTGTCAATACATGTTACATTAATGCCTACAACCCAAAAATGAAAAATCCAAGCTATACAATGAATTAAAAGTCGAGGTATAATATTATGGGTAGGATGAGATTTTTGCTAAATCTTACATTACTGTAAATTTATCTCAAAAATCTAAAAGTCATGCAATGCACTGTACAAAGCTGGGATGATAAACTCCAGATCAGACTGCACCCTTTCTTGACGTATTTAGGATGTTAATTTTCTACAGTATTGCTACTACAGTGAAAATTACAATAGCATATGACGTTTAAGCTGCATGCTTCTGCCAAGAATACACAAATTACTATGAACTTAGCTGAACTTTCTACAAAGAACAATTCTATGAATTGGCAGGGTCAAAGTTTCATCATCTTCTTTAACATGCTTTTTGATTCCACTGAAGTTATTTTCCAGTTGTGTCATTCCCTGAAGATCTGCTACACGCAGATATTCATTTGACAAACTAATCACTTGTTGAACCAAAGGTTTCTAGAAGCTCATTACACTATGGGAATTATGCAATTTAATCCTCTGAGATAACAATCCAAATGTTCTCAAATCATTCTATGCTACTATTAATCCTGGAACTAATGTGCTACACTTGTTTAAAATTGAAGCATATTTAATTATTTTATCCATTTATTCAACTTGTGAATGAAAGCCAACTTCCCTCAAAGTAAAACATTCCTCTGGTATCTTAAGTACTCATGACGAACCACTGAAACTTGTTTCAATCGCATAAAATATTGATCCAGTAGAAGTTGGTAATGGGGTCACTGAAAGTGACCCGCTGACCCCAGACTAGGCAGAGGTGAAAAGAAGTGCCACGGGTAAATGTTCTAAATTGCCGTGCATAAATATAAATTACTGATTCCCAATGAGGTGAGGATCAATTTCAAATGTAATGACCGCCATGATCAAATAACACTCAATACCCAATCTCACAATATAAAATGGAGTGAAGGAAAATCTGTGGGACAGAGCCTCTGGGAGTGGGCAATCATTTAAGAGTGAGTGCAGCATTTTAAGAAAAGAGATTGAATAGGTAGTTTTAAAAATGAATGTTAACTGCAAATCATTACCACGGGCAAAAAGCTGACAAATGTTATTTTGCCTGAAGTGTTGTGAAGCAAAAGAAACTCCCTGTACAATTCTCATCTCACTGATTCTGCAACTATCTTTTGAAACACTGTCAGTGTATCTAATGATTCAGCACTGGACAAATCCAATAAGCATAGTCTTTTCAGCAGCCAATACACATAGATTATTTGACATTTTGTTAACATGGCTGCTTTCCAAGTAACTATTAATTCACTCATCTATTATAATCTAATCATGTTCCCATTCAGCTATACATAAATACTTTATAATCTTGGACTACAGTCTAAAAATGAAAATAGCAAAGCATAAACTAATAGGCTTAGCAAAATGCCAACTAGTGGGAAGCCAGTCAGTCAACACCATACACATTACATGAGAATTGTGTATGAAACAGATTAGCACTGCACTGAAAAGTTTTACTGCTGCTCCAAGAATTTACTAATGCAGAACAAGAGCAAAATGGTGGTCCTTAGCTCTTAAAATGGTACCATTGCAGATTGGTCAAATGCAGATATAAATGAAGCATAAAGATTGATGTTTTGAAAACAGTTCACATTACAGAAGAGTATGTTCTGGAGATCCTGGAAAGCATAAATGTGGAGAAATCTCCAGGACCTGATCTAGTGTATCTCAGGACATTGTGGGGAGTTGGGGAGGAAATTGCAGGGCTCTTTTCAAAAATATTTGTATCATGTATAACTACAGGTGAGGTGCCAGATGACTGGAAGTGGCTAATGTTGTGCCTTTGTTTAAAAAGGGATGTAAGGAGAAGACTAGGAATATAGATCTAAGAGTGTGGTTTTGGTGGTGGGTAAGCTGTTGGAGGTGATTCTGAAAGATAGAATTTACATGCATTTGGAAAGGCAATGAATGATTAGGAATAGTCAGCACGATTTTTTTTTTGTGTGAGGAATATCATGTCTCACAAACTTGATTTGGAGTTTTTTGAGGAAATAACCAAAAAGATTGATGAGGGCAGAGCAGTAGACATTATTTACTTGGGCTTCAGTAAAGCCCTTGCCAAGGTTCTGCGTGGTAGACTAATTAGTAAAGTTAGGTCACATGGAATTCAGGGTGAACTTGCCAATTGGATACAAAATTGGCTCTACTACTGGAAACAGAGTGGTGGTAAAGGGTTGTTTTTCAGACTGGAGGCCTGCTACCAGGGGTGTTCCATAGGCACTGGTGATGTGTCTGCTTTTGTCTGTCATTTATATAAATGATTTAGATTAGAATGTAGAAAGCATAGCTAATAAATTTGTGGATGACACTGAAATAGGTGATATAGTGGACAGTGAAGAAGATTATTTAAGACTGCAAAGAGATCTTGATCGATTGGGTCAATGGGATGAGGAGTAGCAGATGGAGTTGAATTTGGATAAATGAGGTATTGCATTTTGGTAAAACAAACAAGGGCAGGGCTCATACAATTAAAAATAGGGCCTTGGGTAGTGTTATAGAACAGAGAGACGTAGAGGTTCAGGTACATAATTCTTTGAAGTTTGCATCAAATGTAAACAGGGTGGTTAAGAAGGCACGCTTGCCTTTATTGCTCAGAGCTTTGAGTACAGGAGTTGGGAAGTCATGTTGAGGTTGTACAGGACATTGATGAGGCCTCTTCTGGAGTAGTGTTCAATTCTGGTCAGCCTGTTACAGGAAGGATAATATCAAGCTGGAGAGGGCTCAGGAAAGATTTACCAGGATATTGCCAGGAATGGAAGGTTTGAATTACAGGGGGAGGCTGGGATTTTTTCCACTGGAGTGTAGGAGGTTGAGGGGTGACCTTACAGAGGTTTTTTTTAAAATCATGAGGAGTGTAGGTAAAGTGAATGGCAGGTGTCTTTTGCCTATGTTGGGGGATTTCAACACTAGGGGACGTATTTTTAAGGTGCGAGGAGAAAGATTTAAAAAGGACGAGGGATAAATTTTTGAGATAACACAGCGTAAGCTGGATGAACACAGCAGGCCAAGCAGCATCAGAGGAGCAGGAAAGCTGACATTTCGGGTCAAGACCCTTCTTCAGAAATAAATTCAGCGATAAATTTTTGTTTTTTTTTTCCACAGAGAATGGTTCATTGTGGAATGAAATTCCAGAAGTGGTGAATGCGGGTACAATTACAATGATTAAAAGACATTTGGATAAATACATGAATAAGAAAGATTTGGAGGGATATGGGCCGTGCAGGCAGGTGGCACTAGTTTAGTTTGGGTTTATAGTGAGCATGGCTTCATTGGACAGAAGGGTCTGTTTCCATGCTGTATGACTATGAAATATTATAATCCACCAATAGTTTCAGAATGCAATTCAAAAATAAGAATGGATTCACTTAAGCGTGCAGAGGAAATGAACTTCAGGCTACCACCTAAATAGTTACATTTCATCAGAATCTAACCACAAAAATTAGCCCTACTTATACAAGGTTTACCAAAGTGTTCAAAGCTTGATGGCTGAAAGTACACAAAAAAGAAAAAGATGTGTTCACTTCTGCAATCCTCAAATCCAGGCAGGCACTTTCCTTAAAAATATGTTTTAGCTTAAAACTTCGAAAGGTAGGCAGTCCAATTACAATGACCTCAAATATTTAAATAGTTCAAGAAGTCACCAACAATGTCTGGGCAATTTGGGATGGGCAATAAATGCTGGCCTAGTCAATGACACCCACAGCCCATATATGACAATAAATCATATGACCCTTTCTTTGCATGTGAATGCACATAGCTAACTGGGATAGGATATATAATGGCTCAGACTTTGCATTTGTACTGATGGTAAAATTGTCAGTGTTTGTTGTAATTGCCATCAAAAATCTGACAGGAATTCCTGGTGACCACACAGGTTGTTGAATAATTAAACATTAAAAATGTGCTGTCATTGAATCCCTGGCTTCTCAGGATGCATTGTTAAAGTCTCCACATACTAAGACTAGGGAGCGACATCATGGGCACCGGAGCTTCCCCTTTACAAACACTCTCAACAGAAGTGTTGAAGTTCAATGTGAAGGAAGGCTTTCAGCCCATCAGATTTGTGCTTGCTCGTTCAAAGGGGAAATCTAGTCAATCATACCACTGCTTCTCCCTAACAGATCATTTATTTTTCTATTGCGAGTATTCATCTAATTTCCTTTTGAACACTAATGAGATTCGTATCCACCACAGTCAGGGAGAAGACATTCCAAATCTTAATTACTCGGTCCTTCTCTCCTCTCTCATTGCCCACCCTTCTATCCTCTCCCATCCTTATCCCCTTCCTCGTTCTACCCCTCCCTTCTCACATCCCTCCCACCCTTCTCCTACCACCCCTGCCACCTCTCCCACTTCTCCCCCATCCCTCCCTCACAACCCTGCTCTCCTCTCCTGCTTACCTTCCCCATCCTCCCCTCCCTCTTCCTCCTTTGCCCACTTTTCCCTCTTCCTCAGTCTCTGAGGATTGTGTGCTAAAGAGGAGGAAACTTTCAATGTTTTAAAGCACAAAGTATCAAGTCTTGTCATTGCAGGGTTCTCAAAATTTGTTATTCAAGAGGAAATAATTTGGCTAAATGCATCACCTTCACCTTCTTTGTCTTCAAGTCTTTCTTCCAGGATCCCATTCACTATGGCTACCGCTGCAGCTCCATTTATCTGATTGGCTGAATGAATCAGGATTGCCTTGCAGCCACCTCGACAATTGCCTTGAATCATCAGGTAGTAGTTGCAAATCTCTCCTTTCATCTCAATCTCTGGAACTGGAAACAATCAACAGATTGAAGCAAGTAAATTTTAAAATTACAAATAAAAAATACTGTAATTAATAACATATTAAAATTGTTTTATATGTCAAAAGGTGAAGCACAAAACTAATATTGTGAACCTTGATTTACAGCTAGAATGAATGATCCAGCAAATTTTACGCTGGGAATGACAGGCTGCTTTTATTAGTACAAGTTTCTCGATTTATAGTCTTTGAATCAGACACCACTACAGAACTAGGAGAAAGATGAGACATTCAGAATATCCATTGACGATGAGTACCAACTACTTATAAAAGGGAATTGAATTTTTCATTTGTACAGCATCCATGTACAAATTAGGGAAAAAATTGCAAAATATAATCAAAGTAGCTAATTCACATGCTAAGTTAACAGTGCATTAACCTAAACCTAGAATGCAAATTTGACTTTAAAAAAAATGCTAATTGAGGCAGTCAGTTAAATCCTGGTTGTCTATTACTTAAAGATTTTATTTTTTTAAAAAAAAAAATCACAGAAATTGACTTCACCTTTACCTCATTAGCCCTCATTGCCCAGCAAGACTTTCATATTTCCAGCCTCTATATCCACTTAAGTCATTCATTCAACAGCTTTAATTAAAAAGTTTTTGCCTCTGCCAAAGTTTGGTATTGAAGGGATGAAACGTTATAATGGAATGAAGTGGATTATGGATTCAGGGAAGATTTCGGATGAGTCATATGTTCTTTCTTCCAATTCACAAGGCCCCACATCCGCTGAATGTCATAGGTCTTGCAAGCCTGCATATCAACACACCCCAAATTCTTCAAGTTCTCTGCCCAAAGTCAGGTCTGACATAAAGTTTCATGTTCTCTTTCATGAGTAGGGCAGAGAGGTCAGGTCACAAATACAACCCAGTTGGAATGGGGAGTGAACTCTGTGGTGTTGTCACCGACTTAATCCATATCAGCTATCCAAGCAATTTACATGCAATCTGAATTATTGTAGCAACGTACACTTAACCAAGCATTCTTTCAGAAACTTTAAAACAGTAGAACTGATCAACATAATAGGATTACTTGACAAAAAGACAAACGAAATGAGCCGCTATTGTCCTTAAATTAATCCTCTGATTAGACTTTATGTACACCACATTTTATTTCAACACAGAATATAATTCAATGTTCTAGATTAACTATTTAGCAGAATACTGTCACAGAAAAAAATAAAACACCATTCCTATTTAAAATATGTCCACATCATTAGACATCCATAAAAACTTTTACCAATTTCAATCAGATAATAGGTACTTCAGTCAAGACACAATGATAAGGCATGGAGGAGTGTTTTGCTACACAATATACTTTAACATAAATGATCAATGAGTAATTAATACTGAAATTTGGTATTAAAATTGCAAGAGCACTCTACTTCTCTATTACTAATATCCACAAAAGACCTCAAACTGCAAGTATTATCGTTGAAATTTTATTTAGCAATACCCTCAGAAAGCAAACATCAATTCAAACAGCACCTACAATTTAATTTTCTGCTCTGGAATGATATATTTATTTGAAACATTATACTCTAATCCGACAGAATTTTCATAAAGTGCACATCATAAGGGCTTTTAACAACTGACTCGAAATGAAGAGCTCAAATATGAGTTAGAATAACAAAAAGGTCAATGGCTCCTCAGAACATTATGGGTTTTTGAAGACATCAACAATCAAAAGAGCTTATTTGTACTGGTTAGTCAAAACTTCACAGAAGAATAAATTATGCTTTTTGATTTAAAATCAAGTTGTATATCAGTTAAAATGCAATTTAATTTCTATTTACACATCTGAAGCTTCCTGCCCTTCCAGAACAACACACAAGATATAAAGCAGGAAATCAATTTTCTGATTCAGCATTGAGACAATTATTGCGGTTTTGTGTTTGCAAATGATAAAGAAATTGGCAAAACTTAAAAGGAAAAAGCAGAATTCCATACAATTAAAATCTGTAGGCATTATGCTTGGAAAAAAAAGCTAATACACTATTCATTCCAAAATATAAACCACATTTGCAGGTACCTCGTTAGAATCAGTTAACATTTGAAGGTGGGCTAACAGGTAAAACAGCTTTCTTTTCATATCCCAACTTGTTGAGCAAACCTGATACACAGCCAGACCTAAATCTAATAAAAATGTATATTATTGAATCAACGGCTATATCCCATCCCAATTATGGAACATACAAGAAATGCTAATTATTTATTTTTAACTTTCCACATAAATTAAGCCATGTTTAGTAAAATACATAATGTTGCTTTTCAGCATACAATTGGCAACAATAATGGTAAATACAAAGTATCTGAATCCAAACTACTGCAGGAAAATATTATCCCAGGCTTTATATAGACTTATTCAAATCGCTAAGGTATATGGGAACATTAATCTAGTGAGAGGACAGCAGTACAAACTCACCATTAATGCTTTTTGGCTTCTTTGCCATGTAATCTTTCCATTTCCGTGTACTGTACTGGTTAGCGGGTGGAATATGAGTGCTGCTCACTATACAAGATAGATTAAAAAGAGCTCCAACCTTAAAGAATCAGGAAGAAAATTGTAGTTATCAACCACTGGAATTGCAATTGTAAAATAATTTCTAATAGTGAGTGAACATGTATGAACAATAAGTTAATTCAGACAATGGGTAAACACACATACTATTTTTCTGGGTAGTGTGAGGGAAAAACTTTATTATACGAATGATAGGATTTATTTCTTCTACAGGAATTATCCTAGTGGAGGAATATTTCCCAATAGGGTCACTAAGTCGTGATGCTGTCATACAGGAATTGAACTTTTATCAAAAGGCACCAGGTAAGATGAAAGATGATCCAGAAGCCAAGTGGATGCCTTGATCACAATTATGTTTGCATTTAAAAATGCTAGCATTGAAATCCTACAAAGGGGACATAGACCAGTTGAACTGTCATTGAGGCTGGGAGTTTTAAATATTTTAATTTTAGTTTCACACGTGAAGGTGGTTATCTATTCCTTCAAGGTCATTTTTCCAAAACAGACGGAACAGGAGAGGAGGCAGAAATGAGGACACAGACATATATACCACTTGCTCCATTATCTTAGGTTGAGAAGATTTTCCAAAATTTTGCTTCAAAGTTTAACTTTGAGAAGAAAGCAGAACATACCTTCCCTTGTAGAGAAGAAAGTTGCTTCAGTATTTGTTTAGATTTGCCTTGTGCATTACTTCTTGATAAAGTGCTGTGCAATTTAATCAAGGTACTCAATACATTAAATGCAAGGTAACATTAATCTTAGAGACCTCATAATACTATAGACAACTCCCTAATATCTTTTTCCAGAAATGCAAAAACAGATTGAGAAATGAAAGCACTATCTTTACACAAAGTATACAGCCTGAAAATTCACTCACATCCTATTGCAATTTTAAAGTTAATCAGGCGTTGCTCTATTTCAATGCTAATTAGGAAAGTAAATTCATACATGCTAACTTTCATTGTTTTATGATCCTACTTTTCACTCATGGGAATAGCTGAAATATTCTGGAGCTCTGCAAGTCTCCTGTAAAAATTTCTGTGAAACATTCAAGTATGCTTTTTTTTTGAAGCTGCGCTGTTAAATTAGTTATGTGATCAAAAGAGGTACATCCAGTTTAAATTCCCAATCATAAGAAACAGAATAAGCTTTACATTTTTATTTACATTGCATTGTTAATATTTGGTAGATATAATTCTTAGGTTTAAGCATTTATAAATTCTTCATTATGGATTCAGTCAGTATTAAATATTAGCAATCTCATCACATTTAAAAGCACTTGGATGCCTCCTTGAAAAGCAGTGGCCTGCACAGCAAAGTGCCAACTGCAGGAAGTTAGGATTCAGCAGAGCACCTGTTCGTCAACCAGCACTGACATGATAGAACAAATGGCGCCCATCTTTGTCATAAAACTCTTTTTAACATGATTCTATTAAGTCACTTAGTGAATTGATTAACCTTAGGGAATCAAAACATTTGAAAAAAAAAAGCAATCCATTTATTGACCAAGCGAAAGAAAGAGATATTACACTTTCTAAGGCAAAAGGGAACACAAAAGAGGCTTCAAATACCACTTCACACAGGGAAGAGTACAACAAACTGAGGTAGCTTCTTGCATATTATACACTCAATTTCCTTTGGTCTGAGTCACTGCTTGGTCTCATTATAGCAGCTGAACAAGGTTGCGTTGATTAAAACACGCCCATAGAGGAAGGCTGAGAGAGGAAATGATGAGAAAAAGATCAAAGTTATTTGTTTACCACCACACAGTAAAGCTCAAGAAATAGTGTCGACAAAAGAAATAGATTTGATTACAGAACATGCCTCCAAGCATGAATGCAAATGTTGATGTTGAGATGAATGATTTATTTTTCTATGTTTGTAATTTGTAGAATAAAGAAAGCCATTGGCAACATTTAACCGTGAATTTCCAACTCAAATTAAACTTCAAAAGCCAAGGGAAATGCAATGAAAAACAGAGGCTCTTTGCTCCAAGCAATAGTAAAATAATCACTAAATAATCTGTCTTGCTAGCAAAATTATCTTTCACATCAGATATAATAAAACAAAATTAACTGAAACAATTCATTTGTAGCAAATATACATTAAGGATTTTGTAACTAGAAAATTTAAAGAACTAATTCATCGTGCAAAATACTACGAGCCAGCTTCCAAATGTAGATGGCATTGGTTTTGGAGACAGCGCAGTGCAGATTTCCTGAATTTTACCAGAGATTGGATGATTAAGTTATGGAGACGGTTGCTAAAACCTGTCTTGCAATCCTTTGCATTTGGGAGATTGAGGATCTAATCAAGTTAATAGAAAGTTATAAAGAATTCAATACGATAGATGCAAATAAACTACATCTTTGGACCAGAATTTCCAGAACAGGGGTACAAAATCTTAAAATTAGAGCAAGGGGCTTCAGGAGTGAAATATGGAGCAGATTTTCTGCTGGCCAGACATTGTTTTTGAGAGTCTAGATTAGATTTGCCATGGGGACCCCATGGAATTTCTACTGTAGCACACGCCAAAGGAATTGCCTGGAAGGCTGAATTTTCCACTGGGCTTTTCCTCTATGGATCCCCTCATGAAAGTTTTCATAAAAATCAGAACCTTTGGATGTTCCAATGAAATTAAGTTAGTTTGTGAAAAAAAGTTAGACAATTAAATAGATACTTATCTTACACAATCCCCAGATCCCTTATAACCTCAAATGCTGAATGATAACACTCCTGGTACATCATGCATCCCAGGACCCAATAACACCCCTGCAGCCCAAGACATAATCACCCCCACCGCAGAAATTACACCACCCTGCAAAACACCTTCTCCCAACTCTAGACTGATCTAACATACTGGGTCCCTCATAAACCTGACCCAACCATCAAATCCATCCCATCGTTGCCACCAAACCCAATCTCATCCTCTACACTGCTGCCTTTGGACCAAACTCCTGACCCGTACAATGCCCCACTGCTGGCCCTGACCGCACCTTATTAAGACCTTGTCATATCTGGCCCAATGTGACTGCTGCTGAACGTGACCGCTGCTGAACGTGACCATCAGTTCCCCTCTGCCCACTGAACCAGACTCTAACTAACCCCCCCCTACGCTGCTGGATCCAAAACCCCAAGACCCAACACCTAACCTTCCCACCCACTGCCAGACTCATTTCTCCATTCCACCCCGACCTACCCCAAACATTTACCTGCCCCCTTGCACCCTGGCCCCCTACCACTAGCCGGCATCCTGTACGCTTGCGATCCCACTTACCTTGCTGCTTATTGCCCCACTCAATTGATAACCAACCTTCCCAGCTTCCTACATCACACTCGCATACTGCACTTGCCGTTTATCATCAGTTGCCAAAGTGGTTGTCTAAATATTTAAATTTCACATTACGACAGCTCATTACTGTGTATAGGAGGCATGATTTGCCTTGCTCAGACAGTTCAACGCCACAAAAGATCTGTCAGAATAGTAACAGACCTCCACATTTCTGACAGAATCTCCTCCCTAAGATGTGGAGCTCCGTTTTCACATAAGAAAGGGCCAGAGTGGCAAATTCAGTGGGATTGCAAAAGTTGTCAGTAAAACCCCACAAAATGCTAATGAAATCATAATTTAAAACAAGGATACAACTCAAACTCAATTCCACATTGGAAGTAGGAGGGAAGGTCTGACAGCGCCACCAACTGCACAAACTCCAACACTGGCTTATAATAATAAAAACCCTAAAAAGTAAAAGGAAATAGAACTATGAACAAGGCAGTTTTAACATGGAAATATAAACATCAGGATGTTTTCACTAAATGGAATGCTTACAAGTAAACATAATGCATTTTGTTAAGTAAACTCAAAGTTCTGTTTATAAATCAAAAGTTTTATATCTATGATGTTCTTCCTCGTCAAGATGTGTCTGGCTGCTTCTCAATAACATTAATTAATTCAAAATCACTTCTTTAAGTTGCAACGTGTACAGTTGCTCATATATCAAAGCTGTAATAAATTAGGAGCAACTACCAACTTCGTTTTTTAAGGAAATGAAAAACAATACATAATGTGGAACTCAAAGCATTTTATAGTATTTTGTTATAATTCACATGATGGAGTATGACTGAGTTAATATTTTCCAGTATCTTTAGATAAAGTGTATTATATATGCTTTTACTGCATGAGATGTACAGACATGTTGAATGTTACCTTTTTAAGTTAAAAGATAAAAGACATTACAGTCTTTTTAAATGAAGCTAAGAAAATGAAGCCAAGAGAATGAAACCCCTTGTGACATACCAGAGGTAAATGTAACACAAAAACGGTTTGCACTACACCTGGCCCATTATTAAAGCTTTCCTGGTGGTTGAATAAACCAAATATTCCAGATGCAATGCTGCATAAAATGTCCATTAAAATACATCTTTAATCTATCAATAAAACTACATTTAAGAAACTTTCACATTTCTCAAACAAACAGGAAATAACAGAAGTATTTTCCAAAATTTTCGACTGTATTAGTTCTGACAATGTAATCAAATGCACAATCCCGTCAGAGAACATATTAAAATTTGCTACTATTGGATCATCGAGTCACATGGTCAACACTAACGCCTACTCATCAAAACACAGCAAGAAGAATGATGAGTTCCTGTTTTTCATGTCCACTACAAGTTTATTGTCAAAACAAAGAAAACTATTGCTCACCTCTCTTTTTGCATCTGTTGTTCTGGATGTCATGGATACACGTTCAAATGATGTATTGGAATTTATTAAATAATTGCAAAATTTTTGAGTGCCAGCTTTCAAGCAGAATCCTGGAAACATGATCTCAGAAGCAAACTAAGATGAAAAAGTGAAAATGCCTTTATTATAAAATGCGAGTTAGTTATTCTTTACTTTCATACCCAGCTACCTGCCTATAATTCGCAAACTAAATTTAGTGTTCAGAAAGCAATAAAAGTACGCAAGTAGGCAAAAATTTGGTTTACCACATAAAATTTTAGACATTGCTAAATTTGAGAAGGTTGATTTCATAGATCTTTAGCAAATATTTCAGTATTTACACAAGTCGATACAAACAAATTGGGCAGATCGAGCAAGAAACTATATCTAGTTCAAGTAAATGCTTGTCCTGAAAAGCAGGATTACCACATCCTGCATGCTTTCAGTCTGCTTTTTCTGACTTCCTTCAGTAGAAGGAAAGTCACAATCCCAAAACTGAATACTTCTCCAGGCATGATCGGAATAAAACTCTGTACAATCAAAGCATTTTATTTTTGTTTAATGGGAGACGGATGTCACCTTTATTGCCCATTCCTAACTTGCTTTTGAATTCAGTGACTTATTCTGCCATATCAGGGAGAAATTGCTGTAGGTCTGGAGTCACACTTAAATTAAAGCAGGCAAGGATGGCAGATTTCCTCCCCTGAAGGACATTAGTGAGTAAGATCCAGTGTTTGTTTTAATGATAATATAAGGGTAATAGTACTGAAGACTTGTGCTCCAGAGCTTGCTGCATCCCTGGCTAAGCTATTCCAGTATAGCTACAGACGGCATCTCCCAACAATTTACAAAATTGCCTAGTACACATTAAAGTAGGAGAAATCCATCGCCCATCAGTTTACTCTCGATTCTCAGTAAAGTGATGGAAGGTGTCATCAACAGTCCTATCAAGCAGCACTTGCTCAGCAATAACCTGCTTAGTAATGCCCAGTTTGGGTTCCGCCAGGATCACTCTGTTCCTGACCACATCACAGCCTTGGATCAGACACGGACAATGTGAAATGAGAGTGACAGCCCTTGACATCAAGGCCACATTTGACCAAGTGTGGCAAAAAGGAGCCCTAGCAAAATGAATCAATGGGAATCAAAGGGAAAATTCTCCACTGGTTGGTGTCATACCTGACACACAAAAAGATAGTTGTGATTATTGAAGGTCAGTTATCTCTGCTCCAGGGCCTCTCTGCAGGAGTTCTTCAGGGTACCATTCTAGGATGAAGTGTCTTGAGCTGCTTCAATTACCTTTCTTCCATCATAACATCAGAAATGAGGATGTATGCTGATGATTTCACAATCTTCAGCACCATTTGCAACTCCTCAAATACTGTAGCAGTCTGTCCAAATACAGCACAACCTGGGCAATATTCAGACTTGGGCCAACAAGCGGCAAATAACATTCCTGTCATACAGCTGCCAGGCAATGACCATCTCCAACAAGAGAGAATCCAACTACTGCCCCATGGTATCCATTGGTGTTATTATCACCGAATCCCTCACTATCAACATCCTGGGATTTACCATTAGCCAGAAACTCAACTGGACTCGTCTTATAAATGGAGTGGCTACAAGAGCCGGTCAGAGCCTAGGAATACTGTAGCAAGTAACGCACCTCCTGACTCCCCAAAACCTGCCTATCATCTACAAAGCACAAGTCAGGAATGTGATGGAACCATTTGCCTGGATGAATGCAGTTCCAACAACACTTGAGAAGCTTAACACCCCACAGGACAAAGCAATCCACTTGATTGGCACCATATCTACAAACATCCACTCCCTCAACCACCAACACCCCATAGTACTATCTACAAGATAGAAATGAGTACTATCTACAAGATACGCTGCAGAAACCACCAAGGCTCATAAGACAGCACGTTCCAAAAAAATGACTACTTCCATCTAGAAGAACAAGGATAGTAGATACTTACATAGGAACACAACCATCTGCAAGTTCTCTTCCAAGCCACTCACCATCCTGACTTGGGGAAAAAAAAATTGCTGTTCCTTCACTGTCACTAGGTCAAAATCCAGGAATTTCCTCCCTAACGGCAGTATGGGTCAACCTACAGCAATGGAGTGTAGTGTTTCAACGAAGCAGCACCATACTACCTTCTCAAGAGCAACTCGGCACAGACAATAAATGCTACCCAGCCAGCAACACCCATGTCCCATGAGTGACCAAAAATACATTGCAATTATAGATCAAGTTGGGAGAACAGATCTAAAGGAGACTTCTAGAACAGGCACAAATAGACATGGGTAGAAGGATTTTTACACATTTTACACAATAAGCACAAAATCACATGTTTAGCAAAGGGCAGTTGCATTCACAATGGAAAACTGGTCCTCAACTTCCAGGTGATTGATGATGATATGCGTCAGTATTCAATATTGCCTAAATTGACATTTTTCCTAGCTTGGTTCTCTTCCATATTAGGCGAAGCCCCTTCTCTGTCCAACTGATTAATAACCAATCAACTGACTACCCTTCCACGATCATCGCTTCAGCCTTGATTAGGTCTTTACATATCACTGAAGGGGATCCAGATTCAGGTTTCCTTGCCGTTTCATCATCAGTGATCATTCAGATCAAGGTACAACAGCACATGAAGTCATCCTTTGGCTCACCATGCCCACATCTTTTCCCATTTCACTGCTACTTGGCAAGACTGGTTTACAATCTTTACCAATTAAAAGGTTAACAACCACCATGGGGTTATACACATTCTAAAGACTTAAACAAAGGATCTTTAAGTGTCTGAATTAGCCCTTTACATCGCTTAAAATGTGATGACTTATTCACAACTCCAGCTAACACTTAGCTGATTATAACCACCATGCCTGGTGGTTACATTACAATACAATTTTAACTAATATACTTAACGGACATAAAACTAAATTCTAACCGTTGTATAATAACATTCAATTCTGCAAGTGAACCAATTGGTCTTTTCAAACAAAAATCCATCACCAAGATACTTGCAGTTTTACATCTTAATTAAACATAAGTACCAGTATTTGCCATGGTGAAATTTGAACTCATGTCCCCAGAGCATAAGGCCAGGGTTCTGGATTACTCACCCAATGACATTGCCACCATCTCCCTCCTTAACTCACTTTTGCATTCGAACAATTAAAACTAAAATAAAAGCAACATTCTATTAGCATATTCTTGTTGCATTTTCTACCTGTGCATTACCTTTTAGTGAATGCATACCTGATCATCTAAATCCCTATATTCTTCCACAGTTGAGTGCTTTGCCATTAAAATTATTATTTCTCTGATCCAACATGGATTACCTCAGATTTCCCCACATTAAACTCCATTTGTCTCAATGTTACACATTTGCTTAGTTTGTTTCTGTACCTTTGTAACTTTGTTCTCCCATCCATTGAACTAGCTGTGCTTTCTTAAGTTAGTGTTGCCTGCTAACCTGAATAAATAACTCTCTATCTGTTCATCCAAGTCATGAAAACTGTGCAGGTCGCTGGGGAAAAACCACACATTACATCCCAATCAGGGTCAATTCCCTTCATCACTGCTCTCTGCCTTCTGCAGATTATCAACACTTCACAAAGTTACTTCCAATCTTGTTGCATTTTTTTTGTGCGCCAATAATCATTCATTCGCAACTCTATTCTATGAACTTTGGAAGACAACATCCAGAGAGACTTTTTTACCCATCATGCTAATGGCTTTTTCAAAAAAATAGGCATGGTAGCTCAGCGGTTAGCAGTGCTGCCTCACAGCACCAGGGACCTGGGATTGATTCCATCCTCAGGCAACTGTCTGTGGAGTTTGCACGTTCTCCCCCTGTCTGCCGGGGTTTCGTCTTGATGCTCTGTTTTCTTCCCACGGTCCAAAGATGTGCAGGTTAGGTGGATTGGCCTATGCTAAATTGCCCATAGTGCCAGGGATGTGCAGGCTAGATGGATTAGCCATTACACAATTACAGGGATAGGGTAGGGGGTGGGTTTGGGTTGGATGCACTTTGGAAGGTCAGTGTGGACTCAATGGGCCAATGGCTTGCTTCCACACTGTGGGGATTCAATGAAAATATTCATCTTGTTTTGTCAGACACTATCTACCTTTCATTAATTCATGCTGAATTTTTGATCAACTCCAACTTGTTCAACTGCTCACCCATGCAGCCTCCAAAGACAATTCCAGAAATTTTCCCACAGATCTGTGCCTACTCTTCTTGGCCCCCTCCCTACCTTATTAAATAATGGCATGATTATTACAATTCTTCAACCAAACAGAACAATTACTGAATGTGGAGCACTTTGCAAAATTATGGCCACATTATCTGCAATTCCCCCAAGTTACTTCTCTTAAAAACCGGAGATGGAAATCATCAGGTCTTAAAGAATTACCTAACTTAAGTTTCATTAATGCCTCCATTAGTAATTTTTAAATCTGTCAGGTTCCTTTGACTTAAGTTTGCATTCTGTTTCACTGCTATTGCTGTACGAAAGTGGATACAAAGGTATGCACTTTCAAAAAAAAAGTCTGCCATTTTCTTAATGTCAATTGTAATGTCACCTGCATTAGCCCGTATTCCTCTTCATGACCCCTTTTATCCTAATATATTTATAGAATCTATTACTATTAACTTTAGTAGCACTTATAAGCTTTATCTACCTTTTAACATCTTATTACTTTTTCTTTATCTCTTCCATGGTTTTCGTAGGTCTCTCAAATCTATAATTTCAATTGGTACTAGTGTAAATCTTTGCTATTATACTGTCTCAATTATATCATTAATACCCAAGAGAAATTATCCAAGCTCTAGATAGGCAAAACATAGTCATTGGGTGAAGCAAATGAACAGAACGGATGACAATGGAATCAGGGCAGGCAAGGCAATCATCATGGTGAAGTGAGACAATTAATTAAGATTAATATTTCCAATGCATACTAATAGCTTAGAACAGACAAATGTAGCTCTGAGCCTTCTCCAAGCATGATACAACACAATAGACATAATGGGATATATAGCCAATTCCATGGGAACGTAGCTTAGCATTAAAGTTATTGAAAACGAACATTCACAAAGTTGAGTGATAAGGAAGCAGATATTAGGGGTTGTGGATTTACCAGTGATAACAACGCCTCACAGGGTTATTAAAAACATGAAAGGGGCATCTGTATGACTATGATAGCTTTGTTTACTGATAAGGGTATGGGATATAAATGCTAAGATAATCAATGACAAGTGAGCTGTAAAACATTATAAGACCATAAGAAATTGGAACAGGAGTCGGCTTCTCAAGCTTTCTCTGCCATTCGATAGGATCATGGCTGATCAGACATTCCTCACCGCTAGTTTCCTGCCCTTTCCGAGTAACCCTCGATTCCCCTACTGATCAAAAATATATCAACCTTTAGCATACATAAAAACTCTGCCCCCACAGTTTTATGCAGCAAGGAGTTCCAAAGACACTCAATCTTCTGACAGAAGAAATTTTTCCTCATGTCTTTATATTGCATTTTTATACCAAGACTGTGCCCTCTGGTTCTAGGTGCTACATGAGGGAAAATATCCTCTCAGCATTTAGCCTGTCAAAGCCCTCAAGAATCCTATGTTTCAATGAGATCATCTCTCATTCTTCTAAATTCCAATTTTTAGAGTCCCAACTTGTTTAGCCTTCACTCACAAGACAATCCATCCATAAAAAAAAGATCATCCTAGTGGACCTTCTCTGAATTGCCTGCAATGAAACAACATCCTTCCTTAAATAGGGAACCAACACTGCTCATGGTACTCCAGACATGGTCTCACCGGCAACTCGTCCAGTAAGACTTCCCTACTCATACTCCAATCCCCTTGAAATAAGGGCCAACATTCTATTAGCTTTCCTAAGTACCTGCTGTGCCTGTGGCTAGCTTTCTGCTTTTTGAGCACAAATACAGGCAAGTCCCTTTGTGTTGCAGCTTTTGTGGTTTAGTTCCATTTAAATAATACTCTCACATATGGTCATACAGCATGAAAACAGACCTTTCGGTCCAACTAATCCAAGCTGGCCACAATCCCAAAGTTGACCTATATCCTTCAAAATATTTCCCATTCATGTACTTATCCAAAAGTCTTTTAAACATTGTAACTGTACCTGCATCCACCACTTCCTCTGGAAGTTCATTCCATACACTCCAAAATGAACAACTTCACATTTTCTCCCATTATATTCCATGTGCCAACTTTTTGCCCACTTATTTAACCTATCAATATCTTTCAGTAAACTGCTTGTATTGTAATCGCAGGTTACCACACGGACTGTTGAGAGGAGACACTTTGGTAGACTTTCACCAAATGGATCTTCAAGCATATGCGTGAATAAAATTTGTAACAACTGTACAGAGACTCAAATATAGCTGTTTTAAAATTACCACACAATAGGTTTCAGTTTAAGAGTCCGACATTCTGTCTTTATTTCTGTTTTGCCATTGTAAAGTCATTTTTCCACATTTATCATTATAAAAACTGAAATTTATTCTTAATCTCACTCTCCTTACTTGACCATCTGGAAATGATACGTGCACATTATGGGAGCTAGAACATTGTCATGTCAGTGCAACTGATTTGTAAACTTCAGTTTAAATCAAATTAAAGACAGTGAACAAGATTTAAAAAGTCTTTTCACACTTATTTTCTGAAATGCAAATCACTGGTCACAAGTTTAATGCATTTTGCTAGCTCACAATAATATAAAACCCCGAACAGGCTACTACCTACAGTGTGTAAAAATACAGAAACAACAGTTGTACCTTCTGCTCTTTGATGTGAATGTTCCCTCTCCAAATTACCAATGGATCAATCATTTTCTCAAAATTTCCTGGGTCTACCACAGTTGCTCCAAGGTTCTCGGAAATTTTCTGCCAACTACAATTAGACAAGTGACATTAGATGTCTGGACTTGGGAATAATAAACTGTAGCTTGGATTGACTACTTGCTGGTTACAATCCAAGTTGTGTCAATTAGTCATACAAAATATAAAACTGGCTGTTCAGCTCAACCAGTCCAAGTCCGTTCTATATCTCACTCAACTCTTTACAATTATTGCTCTCTAACTCCTACCAGTTAAATTTTCTTTCTCTATCATGTGTTTGTCTCGCTTTTGTGTTATTACCTCAACTTCTTCCAGTGATAGGAAGATCCACATTCTCACTACGCTTTGGATAGAGATGTTTTGTCGAAATTCCTCATTTGAATTCTTGGTGACTACCTTATATTGATGTCCTCTAGTGGTGCTCTTTCCCACAAGTTAAAACTCAATCAAAATCTTTCAAAAGGTTAATGTTATGCAGAGCTTGGGGGACCTTTCCTGCATAAAGGTTTCAAGCATGCCTCAGCATTGTCCAGAAGGTCCAAACCAAGCTTATTGCGATCAGGCCATTAGACTTCTGGGAGAATGTATCACCTCCAGGAGGTCCAGGCCAATCAAACTGCAGGCAGCCTCCTTTGCTAATCATCAATTGGTGGCGTCGGAGGTCAGTGGAAGAAGAATCAGGATCAGGAGAACAGTGTAAGGGTGGGGATTGCTGGGACGGGGAAGAACTTCAATTGAGCTCAAAAGTACCCAAACAGCAAGCAATTGCAAAGATCAGAAGTAGTAGGTACAGGGATAGGCTATTTGGTCCCTCAAGCCTGCACCATCATTCAATAGGATCATGGCTGATCGAACATTCCTTACATCTATTTTTCTATCCTTCCCCCAAAATCCTTGATTCCTTTACTGATCAAAAATCTATCAGCCTTAAATTTACACAAGGGGTCACCCCACAGCTTTCTGTGGCAAGGAGTTCCAAAGAGACTCAAACCTCCAAGGAGAAGAAATTCCTCCTTATCACAGTCTTAAATTAGCACCCCCTTATTCTGACACTATGGTCTCTGGTCCTACACTTCCCCAAAAGGGGAAACATCCTCTCAGCATTTACCTTGTCAAACCCCTTAAGAATCCTATGTTTCAGGAGATCATCTCTCATTCTTCGTATCTCCATTGAGTACAGTTGTAATCTGTTTAGCCTTTGTTCATAAGACAATACCTCCATACCCAGGATCATCTCAGTCAAGCTTCTCCTAACTTCTTCCAGTGAAATGATATCTTCCTTAAATAAGAGGGCCAAAACTGCTCACAGTGGTCTCACCAGCACCCAGCTTGTTAGGCGGGGTGGGGGGGGTAATTAATTCTACTAACTGCTGTTTTAAAAAACCTGTATTAGGTCACCGTATAGTTTCCTGTTTTCTAATGATCAGAGTACCATGCTGTTCATCTCCTCCCTATGTGGTCAGAAAGTCAGAGGAAACTTATAATTTGGTTTCTGGTTTTTTAAACACAGTAACTATTCAGCATTTTTCATATTAGCAAATATCATCTCTCAAGTTGTTAGAAAGTATTTACTTGAACTGTTTGTAGATTTATAGGACTAAGTTTTACTCTTTACCCAAAATTCCATCCAGAACTAGTTATGAAGCACTAATATAAAAGCCATGGTGTTAGTTACAAAATTTAGTCAGATTTGGTACAATTTGGTTTGAAAAAAGGAATGTTTTATGATAATCATAAAAATGTCAAGTGGTGCCTTGCTAAAAATATAAAACTGTTTGCCCAAATTTTAAATCCCAGCTCTGTAAACTAGAATAGTTTTATTTGCGAACAAATGACCCAAACAGAAAATATAGTTTATGATTGTTTACAACGCACACTAGTCTCATATTAACAGAGTGAACTTGTGCAAGCTTTGTAATTCTTACCACTTGCCATCCTGTACGGCAATGATAATTTCTGCTGAATGCCACTCTTGCAGATGTTTAAATGCACCCACAACAGGAAGCCAGTCTTTCAACCTAGGAACACCATGACCGGAGACCAGTAGGATTAGATCCAATAACCCTTTGCCTGTCAACCAAAAACAAAACACACTACAAAATTCAAGCTCCAACCACATTTGGGGCATTAAGAGCAGTACCTCAAAAGCAATAATTTAGCAATGGTGACAATTTCATTGTCATCACAAACACTTTTGAGAGTCAGTTTTGGCACATAACGGAAGCTAAAATATTAACTGATGAAGTTATCTGGCTTAATTAGCTCACAAAAAGTAACACTAAGTAGAATCTTAATATTAGATTGAAAACAAAATGCGATAAGCCTTAATAAACCTGCAGCTGTCTCAACTGGAGAACTATTTGAAATTCTGTGCAACAGGATTTAGGGAGGATGTCAAGGCCTTGAAGAAAGTAGAAATGTGATTTACGAGAATGATGTTAGAGATGAGGGACATCAGTTCTGTGAAGAGACTGAAGGAGGTAGGATTCCTCTCCTTAGAGCAAATTAAGTTGAAGGTATATTTAAATGAAATATACAAAATAGTGAAGAGTTTGGATTAACAAGAAAGCCAGTAATCAGAGGACATAAATTTAAAGTGACTAGCAAAAGCACCAGAGGTGGTATGATGAGTACCAACGTTAGTTATGCCATAGTGCGAAATGCACTGCTTGAAAGAGGAGTGGAAGCAGATTTAATAGTCTCTGTAAGGACCTGGTCTATTTTATATGGAAATGCAAGCCTGAAAATGAACTTTTGGATTATTAGTTTTTTTTCTTTCCACAACTTAAAGGAAAAGTGTAACTGTGTGCTGTTCTTCTTTAAAAGTAGATTTGATACTTTTGTAAGACACAGTATCATCAGGTGCCTTTGGGGGAAAAAAAAAAGATACTGCCCAGCCTTCAGTTCCGTTCCAGGACAGAAATCAATACAGAGGACACGCGAAGCACATCAAACTCCTGGAGCCAGGTAAACCATGCACACACAGTGCAGAAGAGGACCCTGAGAGCTCGTTTCATAATAAACAGGATGATCCTGAAGCCCAGAATCTACAAAATCAACTGATTCAGAGTACTGAAATTTCCCACAGTGGAAACACTCTTCCATATAAGTTTGTATTCATATATTTTGGTGAGTTCAAGTCTAGTACAGTTTGTAAATTTAAAGAAATTATAGTACAGAGGTTAACGTATTCCACCCACTTCTGCTTACAAACTACAATATGTAAAATTTACAGTGAAGCAACAAGGTACCCTCATTCGAGCTAGCATCGTATTTGCTGCTTACCTATCCTGCATGGAAATGTGTAATTTCAGTTTTACCCTTGTCGATCTGAGGTGCTGTGATCATGCAGGCTATGAGCACATCTGGAAGTAGTTGTACATAGTAACTTGGAGAGGAGTGCTTTAGATGAATTCAGAGGTGCCCAGGGGAGAAAAACTGACATTTATGTCAGCAATTGATAAGGCCAATTGTTCATGGCATCAAGTTTCTAATTCCGATCCACCAAAGTAGTAATACTCGTCTATGGGAGCAACATGACTGAAAAGTCTTGCTTGTCTCTGCTTGATTGTTGGTAACTGACCAATATGAAGAATGGTGTCGGAAATGACAAAGTGATGACATTAGAGCAATTTTACCTAATTATTCTTGGGCTTTATGAGAATAGCTCTCCAAAATTTATTTACAAGAATGGTGTTCTTTAAATATTGTTAGCATTTCAGTCAGTAGGTTCTGGGCTCAAGTCCCATTCCAGAATCAAGCATAAAAATATAGGCTAACACTTCGGGGCTGTAACAGAGTGCAGGATTGTCAGTTGTGATATCTTTCAAATGGAATGTTAACTCAAGATAATGGACTGCTCTCTTGGGTGGAAATAGGATACTATTTTGAAAAGAGCAAAGGAGTTTTCCTTGGTGATTAGGCCAATATTTGTCCCTCAATCAACATTGCAAAAAAAAACAGACAAGAAGTGCTGGAGAAACTCAACAGGTTTGGCAGAGTCAATGTTTCTACAGATGCTGCCAAATCTACTGAGTTCCTCCAGCACTCAATGCCTGAATATCAGATTTCCTGTATCTGCAGTTCTTTGCTTTTTATTTTCTTTATGAGTAGAAGACTTTACAAAAAGCCGAAACCTAGATTCAACAGACCAGTTACCAAATTGAGGATTGCCACAGTCAACAACAATGTAACATCATCACCAGAACCAAAACAGAACTGTGAGCAAACTACCTCATCTTCCTGTGTGGTTTGGACTCTGATCCACAGACCTCATGCTTTTTTCATTTAAAGTTTTCACCTAGAATATTCCTGTACAAAAAAAACTGTTCATGTCTGTCTGTCTTGTCTATCTTGTGTGTAAAGTTATGTGTAAATTAATGTGTGAATAGTTGGATTTAAAATAGTAATAGTTAAGCTTGCATATTAGTAGTTAATAATATGTTTTTGCGACATGTTAGAGAGGTTGTGAAATAAATAAGTTTTTATATTCTTGTTCATTGATGAAACCTGATGTCTGATCTTTGATGTGAGATAGTGGTTGCAGTCAGATATTAACCATTCTAGAGATTAAACTGGTCATATTTCACTTTTGTGACAATTGACAGAATAGCAGAGCCAGATTTCCAGCACACTATTCTCACCAGATACTAAAAAATTGAATTGTACACTAAAATGGAAACATTTGCTGGGCTATGAATAAAGGGTGGGAAAGTGGGACAAATTGGATAGGGGGTCAGCAGAGGCACATTAGGCCAAATGTCCTCCTTCCATCCTGAAGTATTCCACACAGTGGTACGGAGTGACCTTTCTGATTGGTTTACATCAAGAACAAGCATACAAACCCGTACTCTATGGTTCAGAAAGTTAGTGCTCTGACATGCTACTTAATTTATTATTTTAAATTGCACGCTAGGTATTAGGGAGGGCTATAGTCGAGACACCAGCATTTAATTAAACTGCAACTGTCTGCTGATGATCTCTAAAAAATTTTCATTCATCACAGAGAAACAGCATTGGATAATGGGTCCTTCTCATTCTCAGAAATATATTGGGAACTTTAACTCATCATTGGATTGGTTGAGTGTTAGATCTCCAGATCCACTCAAGATGTACACATTATATAACAGTATCAAATGCATTCACAGTTTTGAGTCAAAGAATTCAAGCTCGTTTTAAGGAATTGTGAAGGGAAAGACATTGAAGACTTTGGGTTACTTATAACTTGATTACTGTCTACCTAACGCTTTAATGACTGATTTGGTTATCAAAACAGCTCTGTTACATCACAAATGCTCCAATGGAAATGATGCTAACAATTACCTGGAGGAGGCAATTTATCTGCCAGTTGATGTAGACCCTCAGCAGCCTCTTCAAATAACCTGCAAAAGAAATCAATAGATTTTTAAAAAATTTACATACTTCCAACATTCCCACAATTTAAGCAAAAACAATTCACAATACCTCCAAAATAAATCAAACATTTGTAACTCACCACTTAGAAATGTGACGTTTTGTGTCTGACTAGGACCATTTTTTAAAAAAAAGTATGTTGTTTCGAATTTATGGCCGTGGTACTAGACCCACAATTCAGTGACACCTCACCATGACAAATTGTGAATTCAGACTCCAGCAATTTGTGGACTAGCACTAATGAAATAACTGTGAAAGTTGCTACATCACCAAAAGCTACTCCTCACTAGTCTGACCAACAGTTCCACACTATATGGTGAATTCAGTGTCCTCAGAGGTATTAATTTAATTAAATATCCATAATTAACAGTCTAGAATAGTCCAATATAAAGGACTATACCTCTAAAACCAGAGGAAAATTAGTGATTTCAGAAAGAAAAGTTGCATTTCCTTTAGTTTTTTTTCTGTACACTTTTATTTCCTGTGTTTCTGATTTCTCTTTAACTGGAATTTTCACAATTTTGTCCTGTTCTATTGATCCTCAAATGGCTCTTCTCTGCAATATCAGCTATTTGTCATTGCCCTACTCTGAAAGCCAGTGAAATCTCAATTAGGTTTTTGTTACCTTTGGACTCAATTTCTCCAAGACTTTCCTTAATGGCCATTCATTGTTCAGTCCCCATAAATTCCAACTTGTCCAAAACTAAGTCTGTATCCCAGCCTGCAATCATTCAAAGTCTTCAATGCATAATGTAGGCCTAGATATTAGCACAGTACTGACACAGTGCTACGCTGTCAGAGGTACCATCTTTTGTTTAAGATGTGAAACCAAGGCAAACACGAATAAAGCACAACTAAAATCCATACTGGGGGTGGGGAGGTTTTGGATGGGAGATTGATAAACCACAATTAGCTAAACTGATATTTCTGATCATGGACCCTTTTTAATGTTTAAGTATGTAAGGAGATATATACAATGTTCAGAACTTATGATTGCCAATACTAAAATATTATATGATACTTACTCACACAGGAATGAGGGCTCTTTGACATTACCATCCTCTTCCTCACAACTATTTATACTATTCAGACATTCTTCGATTAATACTGGCAAAGGTTCCTCACAGTCACTGTCCTCTTCACTGGAACCAATTTCGTCCCACTCTGGACTACAGAACTAGAAAGAATGGGACAGTATTCATAAAGTTTATCTATGAACACTGTACTAATTTTGTAGCATTTCTGTGTTTTTATGAGAAAAAACACATTTTTTCCTCCTTGGTTCCCACACAGGGATCTATCTCCAAAACATTTGGTTTTAAAGCCCCTAATTAACCTGACATAAAATAAAACTTTTTTTTTTATTCATTCATAGAATTCACATTTCTAGTAAAGTTAACGTTTATTGTCTTTAACAAGGGGATGGTGAGCCAGCTTTCTGGACTGAACGGAGTAGCTACATTGGCCTTTTAGGGAGAGAGTTAAGAGTCAACTATATAGGATCAGACTACATAAGGAAGGCAGATGTCCATCCCTAAAGAACATTAGTGAAATAAGTTTTACAACAATGTGGTATTTATCATTGGTCATGATTATTAATATTAACTTTTAAATTCTAGATTTAGTAGTCATTTAAATTCCCTGGCTGCCATGGTTGATTTCAACACCAGTCTCTAAATCACGAGCCAAGGCTCTCGATTACTAATCCAGTGACAACAATCCTACCATATCCGAATTTCTAACAGATCCATTTACCTTCATTGCTTTTTGTTTAATCCCAACAGTTTTGCCTTTCTAAACAAAAACCCATCAATAAAAGCAAAATACTACAGATACTGGAAATCTGAAACAAAGAATGCTGGAGATATGTGAAACAATTCTTAAGAGTCACACATATGCAAAATATATAACATGATTTCTCTCCACAGATGCTACCAGACCTGCTGAGTTTCTCCAGCATTCTGTGGTTGAAACAGAAATCTATTATCAACAAAGTTAAGAAGTCACAAAACTGATTTCACCTGGAGCACAGCAGCTGCTTACTTCTTAAATCCAGAATCTATCATTATTGCTTCCCAAAAATTTCAGTCTGTAATACCATACCATCCTTTAAATTTATTATTTTCTGGGGAAAAGGACAATCATATTCCCAACATTGACAATGGTTATTTACAAGTGCTTCTTCAAATTTTTGCAACCATTTGGCCAGTTTCATTACTAAAATTAGAAAAACAAAGTTAATGTTTCAAGTTCAACATGATTCTTCGTCAGAGCCGAAAAGAACTGGAAGTGGTAGTGTATATGTTTCACAGAGGGTGGCCAGACTAAAAGTCAAAAGGAGTGCTAATGATGCTAAAGAAAAGGCAAAGATGAAAAATAGACGTGAAAAAGGAGAAAATGGGTCTGCGCTTCTCAAAAATGAACTGTTTCTCTCTCCATGGATGCTGTGAGACCCGCTGAGTTTTTACTTCAGATTTCCACATTTGCAGAATTTTGCTTTTATTATTTTTATTATTTCACTATTTTTGCCCCATTGGTAGATTTTAAAAATATACACAAACAAAATCAATCAGCTTTGCTTTTTGAGTCACACACTTACAGTTTTTAATTTCCTGTCCTCCTCACCTGAGAAAAGCCATGGATTGCCTGAATTGCAAAGAACCATTTCTGTGGTGTTGGGCCACCTGATATTGAACAGGCTGTAACATATTAAGCAGACATTATCCAGCACAACAATCCAACAGAGATGTTAAAAAAAAAATCTATTGCATGAACAGGCTGAAAACTAGAATGATGTTGTACCCTTTCGAATGACTATTACACCAAAGGCAAAATTGGAAAAGACAGAAGGCAAAAGAGGAACTTCCGGACCTTGACAAAAGTAATGGGAGAGAATCAAATATCAAATTCATGGGATATTGCACATGGGAAAGGAAAACAAAGCAAACTAGAGAATCTCTTAGAGATAGTAGGAACTGCAGATGCTGGAGAAT